TTCACTGCCGAACATGTTCCCCTATATTCAATGCTTCGTTTCTCCCTCGTCCGGACTCCGAATCAGTCGTCGTTTGATCCCAGACGCTCGTAGTCTCGTCCTCTTTCTTTTCATGACAGACTTGCACGATTCTTCGTCCATAAAGGGAGGTAAAAATCCATTCTTCTTCAGGTCATGCCAGAGTTTCTTCTCCCGAATCGCCAATTGATCTCTGATTGACTTGAAACTTGCGCCTATGCTTCACTTTATGTGCTAGGACCTGAAATGTAACAAAGGAACACAACCTAGCGTAAAATAGGCCATAGAAGCGATAATGCAAGCTTAAACGATCAAGAACCAAAGGGGAAAAACATGTGCAAATATCGAGTCATCAAGAGCACAAACATTTTGCCCTGGCAACAAACCTTCAAGATCCACAATCATATCATGAAGTTGCGAAAGAAGAATGCTGAAGACAAGCTACGAAGGCTGAAGAAACAGCTCTAGAACTTAACAACACATGGGATGTAGTAGATGCCCCACCAGGGAAGAAACTAGTGGGAAGCAAATGGGTCTACAAAATAAAATTACAAGCTGATGGCTCAAATGAAAGGCACAAAGGTCAGAGTTGTTGCAAAGAGTTTTACACAAGTTCATGGTGTTGATTTCTTGACAACTTGGGAAGCTAAAATACTTCCTAGGTTAGAAATAGCGAGGAGCAATGTTGGGATTTCAGTCACACCAAGAAAATATTGTCTCGGCATACTGATGGACACATGTTTACTAGGTACTAAACCAGCCAAGACCCCATCAGACATGATGACCAGGTTATCTAAATTCCACGATGAGGAGACAGAGGACCCATATGAGTACAAGTCCCTGCTCGGGAGATTGAGCTATCATACTACCACGTGGCCTGACATAGCTTATGTAGTGCAATAGCTATGTCAGTTTCAAGCACAACCAAAGAAATCTCACATGAAGGCATTACACAGAATACTCAGGTAAATTTAAAAACTCCCCAGGCGAGGGTTTGTTCTTTGCATCAAACACATATTTCACTTTAACAAGGTATCACGATTACGACTGGGGGGGCTTGCCCTGTCATGAAATGATCCATTACTGGATATTGCATCTTTCTAGGGAGCTCACTCATTACCTGGAAGGCTAAGAAGCATGCAATAGTTTCGAAATCCTCATCTATTGCTGAATACAGAACCTTATCTCAATTGTCGTGCGAGATATAGTGGATCGCCCAGGTGCAAGGTTGTCAACCCACGGGTCAACCCGGGTTGGCCCGGACCCGCCCTAAAAAACGGGTCATAGCAACCCTTTTGACTGTCAACCCAGAATTGGTCAAACCCAACGAAACCCGGGTGGTTAGCCCGTCAGAGCGGGTCAGCATGTTTGGCTAGTGCGTCGTCTTTTTTTTATTTGAGAAGGCGGAGGGATTAGAGCAGGGTTTTAGAAACGAAAACGAAATCTTTCTTTCTATCTCCCCTATCTCTCTATCTATCTCGCTCTGTCCTTTCTTTCTTGCTCCCTAGGTTTTCGAATCAGACCACAAATATAAGAATGAAAGCTTAAACTTTAAAATTTGGCAGAAGGGTCTGAAAGTTTGGGGCGATTGGGTTTCTATTTCTGAGGTGGTGGTGATGGTGGTGGTAGGCTTGCGATGAGAGAGTTGGGTGCTGACCTCTTCGAACCCCGGACGCTGATGGATTCTGATTTCTCTCCGGCGAGGAATAGTGGCTCTGCTTTATCTAGCTTTATCTCTTAAGGTGCTATTTCTGATTTAGACGTGTTTGGTTTCCTTCCTTCTAGGATGTTGGTAGTGGCTGAAGTTATTGGGCAAAGCGCAGAGCAAGTGCTAAACTTGAATGTTCCAGATGCATAGGAAACTTTGGCTTATGATAGCCAAGATGAAGAAGTTGTGGCAATGATTGAGGAACCAGTTGCAGATAGCGGATTGAATTTGAATGAACAAGGTGCTTCTTCTATCCCTGAATTTTGTAGTTACAATTATTACGTCCTAGGAAATTGCGAGGTGGGGTTGCCTCGACTTCTATTTGATGGAACGTTTGTATTATCAGGTGATGATGCCCCTAGTGGCAGTGAATCTGGCTGGAGCATGGACTGTTCTTAGAGTTAATACTATACACATTAGTTCACCTATATTAGCAGCTAAGAGTCCATTCTTCTACAAGGTGATCTTGAATTTTTAACTAATGGATTTAAGTTGATGTTATGTGATGGATTTAAGTGTTGTTGAAATTTTACTATGTTGAATTTAAGTTAATCTTATTTAAGTGTGTTAGTTTAAGTAGTGTTGCATTTTTTATAATGACTCTTTTTATATTTCTGGGCTAAAGCGGGTTAACCCGGGTGACCCATTAACCCTTGACCCACTAGCTCGTTCGGGTCCGTGTCGACCCGCGGGTCGACAACCTTTCTCAGGTGTTAAAGGATCTGAATATCGACTACAAGAGTTCATCCACTATCTTCTGCGACAATAAATCATCAATTTATATGGCAGACAACCCTGTTTTCCACTAAAGAACAAAGCACATTGAACTCGACTGTCAAGGTTAATTGATATGAAGTATGTGTGCACAGACATAAACTTAGCTAATATCTTCACAAAGGGATTGAGCACACACATATTCAAATGAATCCTCTTCAAGCTAGGAGTATATTATATATACTCGCCAGCTTGTAGGGGGTTGTCGAATGACATAGAGTGCTATGCCTCCAAGCAGAATGATGAAGAAGACTCTGACGGCAACAACAACGATCGACTGCGGAGGACAAAAGTGGACGAGTGTTGACATTTGAGCCAATGTGACAGTGTTCCTTTTAGTTGCATTTATATAATTATATTTAGGGCTAATACCATTGGAAATACCAACCTTTAGCGAAAGTGTCATTTATATTACGTAACTATCGATACGACATTTGTATACCAAAATGTCTATTCCGTTAGTTTAACCGTTAAATTTACCGGCGAGACTTTTCAATGCCCAGTCAGCACCTAATAGGGTCCTATGTGGCATGCTGACATGGACAATTAAATGTATTTGTTAATTTACTAAAACAAAACAAAAATAATAGTAAATGAAAAATTGGGGAGGCCAAACGTTTATTTCTATCTCACCCTTTCCTCTTTGCACTCTCGAGCTATGAACAGAACAAGAACCCTAGAAAACAATTCTCAAAATGAACAAAGTTGGTGGAATCAATCTGCGTCAAAGTTTCTCATTGCGTCTCCGGCGACGTCCCTCCCCCGACACCACCCATCGCCTTCACTGCCCCTCTCCCCTTCACTACTCCATCCCTCTTTGCCGCTCCATAGAGCACTGCCGACAAGAGAGAAAAATCAAAATCGCACTCTCTCTCCCCCTCTTCTAGCGACATCTCTCTTTGAAGCCAGAAGACTCGACTTCGGCGGTCATATCTTGACCGTCGTGAAGCAATCCTTGGCAGATGAGCATGTCGGCAAAGTCGAATAGCTTCAGAATCTCTAGATCTGCCGTCATCGTCGTTTTTCAGGGGAAAGAGGGGTGGGTATAGAAATCAATTCAAAGTTCTTTGAAAGCGATCTCGTGGAGCTCAACTAGAGAATCTCTAGATCTGCCGTCATTCTCGTTTTGCAGGGGAGAGTGGGGGTTGATATTGTTGACTGATTTCTTAGCTAATAGACAAAAGGGGGAATCAAAGCGGCAATTTGGACAGGATTAATGGAGGAATGGAAAAGGGGAATGGAAAATTGAGGAATGTCAATTTTGACGGCAAGAGAAGCTCCCTGTTCAGGAGGAGCTGATGATGGAAGCGCCTATGATTCTTTTTTGATTTTTTTTGTTTTAATTTTTAGGAAATTATTTATTATTTAATTGTAATGCTAATTTAATTTTTTTAATATTAGTTTCTTACGTGGCACATACTTGGATGACACATAAGCGCCATGTCATTAATGGTCAAACATAGGTTGACTATCGTTAGGTCAACTATTAGTTTTAACAGTCATCTGAAATTCGGGTAACACAAATGACACTGACTCCTAATAGTTTGGATTGTTTTTGTGATTATTGAAACTCTGTAATATAAATGGCACTTTCGCTAAAGGTTGGTATTTCCAATGGTATTAGCCCTTATATTTAGTGTTACTTGTGATTTTATGTGTGTAATTATTAGATTGGCACACTTTTCACTTGACAAGAGGACAACGCCGTAAAGGGGTTTGTCCTGTAGCTTCAGGTTTCACTAAATGCCACATTTGGTCACTAAGATTACTAAACTGTGTCATGTTTAGTCACTAGAATTAATGAAATATGTCACATTTAGTCACTCTCCCATTAGCCTCCGTCCAACTCCAGTCACTCGAATTACTGAATCATGTCACATGTAGTTACTCGAATTTCTGAAACATGTCACATTTAGTCACTCTCCCGTTAGTTTTTGTCCAACTCCATTTACTAAATCGTTTATGTTTAGTCACTAGAAAAATTTAATATCAATTTTGTTCACTAATTATGAAGTTGGACGGAAACCAATGGGAGAGTGACTAAATGTGACCTGTTCCAGTAATTCAAGTTAACAAAATTGATATTAAATTTTTCTAGTGACTAAACATAACACGATTTAGTAATTTCAGTGATCAAATGTGGCATTTACCCTATATATTTGCAGCTGCCAGTGAAATGTAGAAAAGGACTTCACAAATTCCTGTCCTCTCATTTATTCTCATTCTTTGCCATAGACGACATTGAGCGATTGAAACACCAAGAACACCAAAGAAGAGGTTAATGTAGAAGTGTAATTAGTTTCCCAATTATCCATACATATGCAAAGAATAATACACAAAATCACAATCGTGTTGATCCCCTGTGATGTTTCATGGAGCCATCTTGTTCTTGGCTCATTCATTCCCTAATCCACCAAGATATTTACAAACTACAACAATCTAAAATTGAGAACAGACAGCAACCCCAACTAATCAAAATTCAAAGAATCCGTACTCAGTATCAAGATCTCTCGCTGACTGATGATGAACCACTATGCGAAGAAGCTTTAGCAGGCTGCCTAAACGACTCGTGACTGAGAGGCAATGGCCTGTCAGGCAACTTGGGAATATCAATGTCACCCTCTAGCATCTTCAAAGCGTCAGCAATCGTCGGTCTAAAAGCCACCATAGCATGAGCACAAAGCATCCCAACCAGAACAAATCTCTCCATCACCCCTTTAGCACCTTCATCCCTTATCGCCTCATCGTAGATCTCCTCCATCTTCCCAGACTTCAGCAGCATCCACGCCCAATCCGTGATCAAAAGATACGAAGCACTCGACGTATCTATTACCTTCCTCCCGCTGATCACCTCGAGAATCACAACCCCGAAGCTGTAAACATCGCTCTTCTCTGTCAACTGACCATAAAGAGCATACTCGGGTGCCAGATAGCCATGTGTCCCAGCCACCCTTGTCGTAAGATGAGACTGCCCTTCTGAGCTCTGCTTTGCCAGCCCGAAATCAGCAACCTTGGCTTTCATTTCCTTATCAAGAAGTATGTTGTTGGCCTTAATGTCGCGGTGATAAATGGCAGGTTTGATCCCGTGGTGGAGGTATGCCAGCCCTTTGGCCACATCAAGGATGATGTTCTTTCTATGAGGCCATGTTAACTGCCTCCTAGTATGATCACTAGCTAGATGATCACCAAGACTTCCATTCGACATGTAATCATAGACCAGAAACCTCCTTCTACCTCTGAAGATGTCGCTGGTAACGCAACAGCCGCGGAGCGAGAGGAGATTTCTGTGCCTGATCTTGCTAATGATCTCCACCTCATTGGAGAACTCCTCATCCCTCAGAGATTCAGGATCGTGCATTTCCTTCACAGCAATGAAACTGCCATCCGAGAGAACCCCTTTGTAGACAACACCATAAGCCCCTTTCCCCAGGAAATTCCTCTGCGAAAACCCATTTGTGGCCTTCTCAAGCTCCCCCGACTGAAACCATTTCGCCCCAGAATTCGGCAGCACAGCAGATTTGAAACTGCTGACGAATTCCTCATGGGAAGCCTCAGCATGCTTCCTCTTCTTCCTTTTTCGACACAAAACCACAAACAACAAAGCAGCAACGACAAGAGCAGCAACACCACCGATTATCCCCAAAACAAGCCCCACTACTTTCCCGTGGTTACCCTTCTTACCAGAAGTAGCAGAGGATTTCAACGGCAAGGCCAGAATACAACCCGACGTCTTGGCATCGAGAGGGCCGAGCTCGCTGACCATAGCAACAGCATACAAGCAAGTGAAGTAGAAGCACTTGGAAGTAGCATTTGCCTGGAGATTAGTGAGCTGGGAATTCACCTTCAAGCCGGCGTCCAAACACGAGCTGCAGCGGGTGAGGCCGGAGACGTCGCCCCTGCAAGCGGAATCGAGCGGGGTGAGAGGTCCGACCCGCTGGATCCAATCGGCGGTGGAGATGACCCCGACGCAGCTGGAAGCGTTGGAGACGAACTGATTGGGGTCGCTGAAGCAGAGAGGGACGAAAGAAGGGTCGATTGAGATGGCGGCGAGGTGGGTCCGGAAGTCGGCGAGGCAGGCGGCGGAGGCGTTGGCGTCGGGGAGCTGGAAGAGGGAGGTCTCGCGGAGGTGCTGGGCGATTCCGATGCCGAAGAGGCTGAGCAGGGTCTGGCAGCAGTGGCGGCCGTCAGTTTGCTCGCAGAGGGATGTGTCCCATGGGATTGTGCGGACGTAGCTTAGATCGAACGGGCATCGCGGCGGCGGTGGCGGAGGAGTTGCTGCAGATGCTGTGGAAATGAGGAGGAGTAAGGAGAGGAAGGATAAGGATAAGGTGGTCGCCATTGCGATGGTGGATTCTTCTGCTGCTGCTGGTGCATTAGATCTCTGGGCTCTGGGAAACATGATTGAATTGCTTACTATCAATAGAATAATAATCAAGCCCATGTGGGAGATTAAAATTTAAAATCATTAGATTAAGGTCGGCTTCTAGAGTAGAGGTTGAGCAAAGCGAAAGAATGATCAAGATTGGCTGGCGATTGTTTGGTCAAAGCTTTACTTTTTTTTCTGGAGGGGAAAAAAAATGAACAAGAGAAGATCAGAAAATGGTTGTCCCGTCACGCCGTGGAATGCCGGATGGTTGAATTAGCTTCATTTGGTATGGGTTGTGAAATTGGCATAAACATCAATATTAGTATAAGGTAATGAGCTTGGGCGGTAGCTCAATGTCTATTATTATTTAGGAGTGGAAGTTTGGGTTGTGGGTTGGGGATTGTTTTCCCGGCGAGTAGAGATGGCAAAAATATCCGTAATCGTGGATATCCGCCCGAATCCGGCCTAGTCGGGTAGGGTAAAACCCGAACCCGAAGGACATTTAGTGGGTACGGGTAAAACCCATACCCGAATATTGCGGGTAATGGGTGGGCATGGATTTCTCACTATCCGACCCGAACCCGCCCGATTATACACATGCATATGTATTTTGTCTAGAAATAATCATTATTTTTCTCTAACATATTTTATATTTAGCATATAAATATAACATTTTCATGAAATTGTGTTGTTTTAGTTAATTTTCTTCATTCTAGTGAATTCTTGTCGTACTTTTTCTCTTACTTAATATAAGAATACGCGTGAATGTTAACATATTGGTTGGAGTTATGAAGAGAAATTAATATCCATGGATAATCGTAGATACCCGAAACCCGAACGGGTATGGGCATGGTTTTGATTTTCTACCCGTTTCACATGTGGGTATGGGTATGGGTAAAACCCGAAATACTTTGGATAGGGTAACGGATATGCACTATCCGCCCCCGACCCGACCCATTGCAATCCCTACCGGCGAGAAAAATGAAGGAAAGAGAATTGGATTTTGCACCTTTGACTTCCAAACAAACGATCAAACAACACAGTTCACACCTCTTTGAACAAAGTTCAAACAAGGGTATTCAATGTTTTGATGAACTACGAGGCAAATCTACATTAAATTAGCCCTACTCCTATGGAGGTTCAGTGAGAGCTCCAAACACTACGACTATGGCTAAAATCTGCAGAGGAAAAGATAAAAAGATAAAACTTGACAAGTGGTGTCGAGTTGTGATTTTTGCGAACCCTCTCTCTGTCATCTTCACCTCCTATTTATAGCCACCAGAAGTAACTGCCCCAAGAAACTGCTCTGCTGACGTGGAGTGACGGTTACCCACTCAACTGCTATGACGGTTACCCTGATGTTGGATGTGGGATCCTCTTTAGTCTTGACTTCCTCCTCTTGAGACCTCAACCTCTACTCTTGGCATCTCCTTCGTAGTTTTGCTTATCCATAGAGTAAAAATGGCTAAGGCATGAAAGCAAACCACATGCCACATATGGGTGGGTACTCGAACCACCTGAGTAAAAATGGCAAAAATACTTCACCATTACGACCCAGGAGTATTTAGCCTTGCAAGGGGGTCCTTGCTGATTCACACGGGATTCCACGTGCCCCATGCTACTCGGGTCAGAGCGTAAGCTAGTGATGCTTTCGGCTACTGGACTTTCGCCATCTAGGGTGCAGTACTCCACCGCTTCGCCTAGCAGCACGACGCTTGTATTGCTCTCCCACAACCCCGTTTTCACGGTTTAGGCTGCTCCCATTTCGCTCGCCGCTACTACGGGAATCGCTTTTGCTTTCTTTTCCTCTGGTTACTAAGATGTTTCAGTTCGCCAGGTTGTCTCTTGCCTGCCCATGGATTCAGCAGCAGTTTGAAAGGTTGACCTATTCGGGAATCTCCGGATCTACGCTTATTTTCAACTCCCCGAAGCATTTCGTCGCTTACTACGCCCTTCCTCGTCTCTGGGTGCCTAGGGATCCACCGTAAGCCTTTCCTCGTTTGAGCCCACCTGGCACCCTCATGGGGGCGATGTTGACCACGCCCCTTGGCCATACCATGGGGGCGTATGTTGGTGACCCACTAACCATGCTACAGGGAGTGGATATTAATCACCGCCATGATCATATCATGCGGATTGTACCCTAATGGCGGGGTGTGTTGATGGCCACCCCCTGATCATCTCATGGGGGGTTCTCCTTGCCATCCTTGGTGATCACCCTCATGTCATATCATGGCGTCTCCTTGCCTCACCATACTTAGTCGTATTTCACACCGCATGGGGGTGGTGATCCCACGCTACTCCATGAACACTCCGTGGGGGTGGTAATATGACCCCCTCACTACGTCCTGGGGGTGACAATATGATGCCCACCCCCTTCATCACCCCCTCACCATGTCATGGGGGTGGCGGTACTTAGCCAAATTTGGGGATGCATTGCACGCGTGGTGGCACGGAGTAATGGGCCCAAAAGCCAAATCCTCATGGCCCACTCAACTGATTTAAACTGATATGATTAAGTTGGTCTTATAAAGCCATTTAATTCCTTGTTTTCAACCGATGTAGTACAAGGTTAATTTTTGGTGTAAACAGGGATAATCCGCAAACCGCATCAACTCGTACTCATTGTGGGTAATCATACCCACAAATTGTGAATGGTGGATTGGGTGTGAGTAGTAAAATAATAACTTTTGTGGTTAATAGTTATCTACTATCCACCGCGGTTAACCCACAAAATCCACAATAACCATACTAATTATCTTTATTTACTAATAATACTTTATAATATAATAGTATGTGAAAAGTGGGAGGAAAAAAACTAAAGTAGCGCACATAATCAATTACGCATCTAATCAGTTTTAAGTGAGAATTTTTTTAGTTTATAACACACTATAATCGAGAGAGTGGAAAACAAACGATCATTAAAAGTTGGCACCTTTAGTAACTTTTATCTGTATGGTTTTGCTTTTGAGTGAAAGAAAATATAAGTCATATATGAGATCACAGTTCTCTGATACAAAAGTTGAATATCAAACTCGAAAAGAAAAAATCTCAGCGTTGAGTAAGATCGATATACAAAATTATATCTCCTTGAACGACACAAATTGTATATTACTATAGTTTAGCTACGAACAACAAATACGTTGGTGGCTCCCTTAACTCCATACTTGCAAATATGGATTTTTGCGGCTAACCACACCCAAAATAGTGGGTGTGGTTACCCACTAACCACTATGGTGCGGATTGTGGGTGACATAATTGCAAATTTGTAGGTATGGGTACCTACAAAATATGGGGCGGGTAACCACACCCGCCCCAATTTCCACCCCTATCAATACCCCGCCTCATGCTACTATAGATCGAGGCGGGTAATGTCCTTGGGGGGCGGGTCAACCAACTGTTGCATGTTTTATGAAAAAAATACAGGCAAAATTTTCCTTTTTACGATAAAACATATAGGAAAACATTTTATGAATGAAAAATTGTGATAATAGAACGGGTAATTAACTCTAAGTAGTTCAAAAATTGAGTCTAACTAGTGGAATAAAAGTCAAAATATGAGAAATATGAATAGATAATGTAAGTATTTGAGGTAAAATGGGCCAAGAACGGGCCGGAGTGGGACAGGGCAAGTTAGAAGTAGATACCAATGTCCCGCCCATTCTACTGCGGGTCGCGTAATACTCGCCCCATCACGGGTCAGGTAAGGTAATATCCGCGGGGTGGGTTCAAATTGACATCACACAAATCAATATTATAATTAGTATGATTGATTTACTAAAATGACATCATTTTAATGATTTTAATTAATAAAAAAATAGTTTTTTATTTATTTTATGAATTTAGAAGTTTTTTTTTTACAATCATGAATTTAGAAGTTGATGTTATCTGTTAGATTCAAATATAAACATTTAGCTATTGAAGTTAAATGTTATATCTAAATATAAGTATTTTTTATTTTATTTGAAATGTCGAAATTTATTTAAATATGAATACGAATTGTAAGTAAATTTTTATATATTTTTATAAACCGATATAAAATCGGGTCAAGCTAATTTTATTATCAGTTGAACTATTTCACTTGTCAAGTTGTCACTACTCACCATCCCTCTCGCCGCGCCGGAATGTGAAGTAAACTCAGCAGGAAAACAATCCTGAAGAGAATCGTCGACAAAAATAAAAAGGTGTAGACTTTGAGCTTTTCTTTTTTTCCGCCAAAACTACCTCGTGGGGTTTGAAAATTTTGACCAAAGCGATGTAAAAAAGAAAACACCCACTTGCATCTTTCCCCCGCCAACTCCACCCATTATCATAGTCTCGTAGTGGATGTTCGCTTCCACTTCCAGCAATAAAGCGAGAATCCCCTGCTTCCGACCACCCTTCCTTCCACCGGAATTGTTTATTCTATAATACCGCCAACGGCCAGCCAATTTGACCTCTTACTTTCTCTGACCCATGCCTTTTTTGTACTCACATGCCCACCATTCCCAATTCATTAATCAATCCACCATCCCCTGAAAAACCCACCCACAACCATGGCGATGGCGATCGCCTTACTCCTTCTCACCTCCGCCGCCGCCGCAGCACCAATAGCTTCTTCTTCTACGACACCAGAAACACGGTGCCCATTCGACCTAAGCTACGTCCGCACAATCCCATGGGACACTTCCCTCTGCCAGCGACCCGCCGCCGCCCCGCACTGCTGCCAGACCCTCACCAGCCTCTTCGGCATCGGGATGTCCCAGCACCTCCGCCAGACCTCCGTCTTCGAGCTCCCCAACGCCAACGTCTCCGCCGCCTGCCTCGCCGACCTCCGGACCAACCTCGCCGCCATCTCGATCGACCCTTCCTTCGTCCCTCTCTGCTTCAACGACTCCAATCAGTTCGTCTCCAGTCCTTCCAGCTGCGTCGGGATCATCACCGCCGCCGATTGGATCAGTAGGGTCGGACCCATCACCCCGCTGGATGCTAATTGCAGAGGCGACCTCTCGTCGGGGCTGACCCGCTGCAGCGCTTGCTTCAACGCCGGGTTGCAGGTGAACTCTCAGCTCAGTAGCCTCATGCCCAATTCGACTTCCAAGTGTTTCCACTTCACTTGTATGTATGCTGTTGCTATGGTGAACGAGCGTGGTCCTCTCGATGCCAAGACATCGGGTTGTATTCTGGCGTTGCCGCTGAAAAGCTCCGTTGGTGAAAACCCTAATCAGGGCAAACATGGGAAAAGAAACGAATTAGGGCTTGTTTTGGGGGTTATCGGTGGTGTTGTTGGTGTTGTAATTGCTGCCGTTTTGATTGTGGTGTTTTGGCGGAAGAGGCGAAAGAGGAAGCACGATGAGGCTTCCCATGAGCAATTTGTCAGCAGTTTCAAATCTGCTGTGCTGCCGAATTCCGGAGCTAAGTGGTTTCAGGCGTCGGAGCTTGAAAAGGCTACAGATGGGTTCTCACAGAGGAATTTCCTGGGGAAAGGGGCTTTTGGTGTTGTGTACAAAGGGGTTCTTGCAGATGGCAGGTTGATTGCTGTGAAGGAAATGCACGATCCTGATTCTCTGAGGGATGAGGAGTTCTCTAATGAAGTTGAGATCATCAGCAAAATCAGGCACAGGAATCTGCTCGCGCTGCGAGGGTGCTGCGTTGCTAGTGACGCGGTCAGAGGGAGGAGGAGGTTTCTGGTCTACGATTACATGTCGAATGGAAGTCTCGGTGATCATCTAGCCAATGACAAGAATAGAATTCAGTTGAGTTGGCCTCACAGGAAGAGAATCCTCCTCGACGTTGCCAAAGGACTTGCATACCTTCACCACGGGATCAAACCCGCCATTTATCACCGCGACATTAAGGCCAACAACATACTGCTGGACAATGAAATGAAAGCCAAGGTCGCTGATTTCGGGCTTGCAAAGCAGAGCTTGGAAGGTCAGTCTCACGTTACGACGAGGGTGGCTGGAACCCACGGTTATTTAGCACCGGAGTATGCGTTGTATGGACAGCTGACGGAGAAGAGCGATGTGTACAGCTTCGGGGTTGTGATTCTCGAAGTCATCAGTGGAAGGAAGGTTATCGATTCGTCGAGCTCGTCGTTTCTTTTGATCACGGACTGGGCATGGATGTTGTTGAAATCCGGGAAGGTAGAGGAGATCTACGATGAGGCGATACGAGAGGAAGGTGCTAAGGATGTGATGGAGAGGTTTGTTCTTGTTGGAATGCTGTGTGCTCATGTAATGGTGGGGTTCAGGCCGACGATTGCTGATGCTTTGAAGATGCTGGAAGGTGACATTGATGTTCCTAAGTTGCCTGACAGGCCATCGCCACTGAGTCACGAATCATTTCGGCATTCTGCTAAGAGCTCGCTTTATGGTTCGTCTGTAGGCAGCGAGAGGTCGAAAGCTTCCAACACCTCCATCTCCATCTCCAGCTCAAGTACCGTATCTTGATGCTGTTCTATGGATTCTTGGATTTGATTAGATGCGTTGCTGTGTGTTTGAAATTTTGTTTGTATTTACAATTGAGGCAAGTAATATATCCATTTATACGCAATAAAATCAAATCACAGCCTCTCAAAGCGAACTGCTATAGCGCCTTGATGAGAGATGATGGTGGTCAACCAGTACGTCGAGTTGGGACTAGTACGACTACAGGTACAGTACTCAGGACTAGACTAGGATTATCTGGAGAAAATAAAGAAGATTAGCTACGGCCTACGGCTACCACTACAATACCCACAACTACAAGGAGAAACACCTGCAACGAGACATCGAGAAAACACAATAAATTTCAGTCTCCCAAACCAAGAACACTACCCAACTTGCATCTGGTCAAAACAGAACCCGACTCAACTAACCCGTCCGATCAACCCGACCTGTAAACCACAAATCGAATTGACTAAAAGTCAGCAACCTATGACCTGCCCGACCCGCAGCCCGATTGAGCTGTAACTTGATTAACACTCAACTCGACTGACCCGCAACCTGAACTCGATTAACCCGCAACCCAATTAACCCGAACCCGATTGACCCGAACTCGACTAACCCGTGACCCAACCAACTCAACTCAAACTCCACTCAATCCACTTGAATAATTATTACTTATATAATATATAATTTTTCAAAATGAACTTTTTTATTCTAAACTTAGGTAAAAAAATTAATTTCGTGTAGGAAATTCAGAAAATATGAAACTCAATTGATATTATGTATTTTAATAAAATTACAAAAATGGAAACATGAAGGTCACTTGACCACTAAGTTCTTTAACAAAATTAAGAAAGTAAATACGAAATATAAAATCACCACAATGTCAATATTGATAATAAAAAATTAATAATTGACATCATGGACAATATTAATATAATATAATATAAATTAAAATTTTGATTAATTTAATTATTTAACAAAGTTATCAATTAAATATAATAAAGTAAAGTAACGTATTTGATAATTTGATGATTTTAAAAGAAGAGGGAAATTTTGGTGTTTTCAACTTTTTGGGAAGAGAAAGATTGAGAAATTTGGTGTTTTGAATTTTTTAGAAAAGAAACAAGAAAAAAAATTTGGTGGTTTTGATTTATGTAAAGAAAAAGAAGCGAAAAAGTTTGGTTATTTTGATTATGAAAAGAGAAATAAGTAAAGAATTTTGGATTTTCAATTTTTTTTAGGAAGGAATGAAGCACAGAAGATGAAAATTTGATTCTTTCAATATAATGAAAGAGAAAAAGGGAAAATTGACCATTCTTTGGACTCTCTCCGCTTCAGAGGCCCGAATCAGTTCGTCTCCAACGCTTTCAGCTGTACCGGGATCATCACCGCCGCCGATTGGGTCCAGAAGGTCCGAACCTTCACCGCGGTGGACGCCGCTTGCAAAGGCGATCTCTTCGATTACATCCCCTACAGCGCTTGCTTCAATGCCGACGTAAGTTTGGCTTACCAGCTCACGGACATCATGCCCAATTCCAGTTCCCAAGTCTTTCCACTTCACTTGCCTGTACGCTATTAATAGGGGTGGTATTCGGTCGGTAACTGTATTACCAGTTACCGAATTTACCGGTTTCAGTATACCAACAGTGGCTAAATTGCAATGCTGTCAAAGTCGAGCCGGAGTATGACCCGGTAATGTGAACTGCTCGGTCATTAGTGGTCCAGCCGTCATTAGACCGTTTAAAACCCGTTTTTGAGAATCGGTAGTCCATTTCGTAAGCAAACTAGCTGCCCCTATCAGCAAATCTCAAAATCTACGCTAATCACGTCAAGATCAGACAAACGACTACTAGATCCACCACTAATCAAATACCCCGTAAACCAATCGCCACCGACAGCCCAATAATACCCACACTGGAGAAATGCTAACATAGAAATCCCCAGAACCAACGGAAAGATTGAAGAAGAAGAAGGGAGATGAATTACCCCGCTGTCGGATGGCGCGCTGCTTGCGGCGACGGGACGGAAGCGCTGGGGCGATGGTTGACGGCGGCAGGGTGGCGCCGCTCTCCCTCTGTCATCTGTTCTACTTCTAGGTCGAAGATGAAGAAATAAAATGAAAGTTAGGGTTTTGTTTTGCTGCCCCATTCCACGATTGGCCTTTTTTTTAGGGTAAACCAAACGGCCGAACTGCGCGACCGGCTTGAGCGGCTCGAGTGGTTAACCGCTTCGGCCGCTCGCCGACCGCTGTATAAAACCGTGGCGGTTAAATAGCTGATCCGAGCCGGTTTTACGACCGGGTGGCTGCTTTGGTGGTCCGGCCGGCTCGGTTCGGCTTTGACAGCACTGCTAAATTGGAATCGATTACCGATACCGGTTTGTAACCGGTAAAACCGGTTTACCGGTTACCGAATTACCGGTAAACGGTTACAAACCGGTTTACCGAAATACCGCAAGGAGCGACGTGGGGCGGTTTTTCGGTTCGGTTTACCGAACATTTACCGAACCGAATTTCTGTTAGTGGGGAAGATGTTTTAATATTTTGATTTTTCTGAGTTTTTTTCTTCATTTTTGTAATTAATAATTTATTATTAACTCTTATTTATAATATTTTTTAGACCTATACTTACTTGCATTCATGTATCATGTATGTAATATTTGTGAATAATGAAGTATATGTTATATGTTAATGCCTTAACTTAATCTTTGAGTTCAAACTCAAAGTTGCTATCTATTAATCTATTTAATTTAACATAAGTTCAAAGAGTCAACAATCATGATTCATGAATCAACATCAACTCTCATCAAGCATCATCATTCATCAAATATTCAAATTCATCAAACGACAATTCGACAAACATCGTCAAATTCAAAGGTACAACAAGTCAACAATCAACATAAATACATAATCGTCATTCGTCAATCGAGTAAAGTGCCCAATGATAATGTTTAAATTCAACACAAGTTCAAAGTCCAAACTTAAAAATTAAAATAAACAACCAAATAAGTTAATAACCAATAGCTCATGCTCCTCCTTCTCCGGTAGAACTTGTAGCACCACCAACATTTGCACAACCTTTCTTCTTCAAAGTCATGAGAAGAGTATCATCGGGATCATGTCTTCGTCGGACTCGATGGATTCTTCATCATCACCCTCCTCCTCCTCCTCCTCAACCCCAACAACAGATGCATGTGCTCCACTTGGAATGTCACTTGCAGTTTCCACTCGAGATTGAAAAGTATTAGTAACTAGTGCAAATAAAATACACAAATGTTAGCATGTTACTAATGGAATGGTTTAAAATTTAAATAGTAAATAGTATAGACAAACTAGAATAATAAATTGAATTTATACCACTTTCATAATCGATTGTCTCTTGATCTTCTTCTTTATCATTCAGTTCATCTGCAGTCTTTCCACTTTCATATCTTATCCAATCTTCAGCACAAATCAATGCCTCTACAATGTTTGGGCTTAAAGAAGACCTGAAAGGACTAAGAACTCGACCTCCACAACTGAAGCGCACTCTGATGCAACAGAGGAGACTGGAACTGCTAATAAATCCCTAAGCATCTATGAAAGAATGAGATATCTAACACTGTTCCGAGCCCACCACTTAAGAATATCAAACTTCCGATCATCAATCTCCTCATTAATAGCATCACCAACATCTCTCAAATGCTGCTCCAACTCACCACAACCTCGACCCGCCCCCCTCTCAATTTGCTCCTTTCTCTTTTGCAGGAACCGAGCTTCAAATGCTCCTCCCATAGCAACAGATCCGTCACTAGTCTCAGTAGGAGTAGTAGTTGGGTAGTAGGCATAGAAACAGAAGGTGGAGTTGCATACTTCATTTTGTAGACATCGTACAAAGCAAATAATCCTCTTCTGCAACTTCCAAACATCTCCAATAAAATGTGCAGTCACACACATAAAATTCTGGTTGTTATCACTAGTCCATGTATCTGTAGTGAACTAGTGATAGATATTCTTCCTTTGCACTTTGAGTTAAAAAAAGTCAATCAATATTTATTTCTTCTCCAGAAAAATGACATAACAATCATATCTTATTGTTTGTCTTCTAGGTATCACAAACAAAGGCTGAGTTGTTGCCATAAATCTCCTAAACCCCTCTCGCTCAACAAATCTAAACAGAAGCTCATCCAAGATTATCATCATAGCTAATGCATGTTTAGATTTTTCTGATCAAACTTTCATGGAGTAAGAGAGCCTACCTCACCATCTCCACTTCCAGGTTGATAGTTCAATACCGACTGACCACCAGCTTCCTTCGCCCTCCTCTCGCGCATTAGGTGATGGCTCTTCAAACCACTAGTCCCATTGAAGTTGAATGAGCTTTGATCAGTATCCCACACCGTTTGCATTTGCCGTATGGGTAGTTATCAACCAACACACGGGTTTAATGAATCCACCACTTAGATTTTGACTTTTTCTCCTTCCCCTTGTCAATTTTCTTCTGTACACCAGGTACCTCAGCAGATGAAGGAGGATTTGTTGCATATGGAGGAGGATTTGCCTCAAGAGGTGGATTTGCTGCAGCTGCAGGTGGAGGTGGATTTGCAGTAGTGGAAGGTGTGCTAGTCGAAGTCTTCCCTTTTTTGAAGAGCTTCGAGGAGGTAGAGAACTAGCTTTTTTCTTACTACCTCCTCCACGGATGACAGCAAAAGGTTTCGTCCTAAAAAAACAACTAAATGAACTCGTAAATTTTCTAAACAACCATTCAACACAATCTCAATTCACTTCAATCAATTCACTGACGATTTCTCATCTATTACTCAATAGACAATTCAATTCAATCAACCTCAATTCAATTACTCAATCATCTTCAATCAATTCAATTCAATACTTATACAACACATAAATGATAAATTTCCATCTTTGCAATTCCAATAGTTAAAACTCAATTCAATATTTCAATTACTAACATACATGATTTGATTTTGTTGGCCTCAAATCTCAATGCGACAATGCCAATTGCCAATGGTCTGTTGTTGGCACTTGGCTGGCTGTTGCCTGTTGCTGCCTTGCTGGCGTGCTGCTGGCTGTTGTTGGCTAGCCTGTTGCTGGCGCCTGGCTGTTGGCTGGCCTGCTAGCTGCTGCTGTCCAAAGCAAAACTCCAAGGGGCAAGGAGGAAGGAGCAACCGCGGAAGAGGACTGGCAAGGGAAGGGAGCAACAGCGGATGAGGACTGCAAGGGAAGGGAGGGAGACTGGGAGAGGCGGAGAGATTGCCTGGACCCTGGAGGAGCCGCGGGTGTGGGCAGGAGGAGGCGGCCCGGTGGAAGTGGGCTGGCGGAGCCGCGGAGGAAGGCCATTGTCACTGTCCTGGCGGTGGCGGTCCTAGCGGTGGCAGAGGAATGGCAGAGGAGTGGGGCGGAAGGAGTGCTGCAACACCGACGACTGGGGTCTGGGAGGCGAGGAGGACGCGAGGCGAGGCGGACTGGGGAGGAGGGAGTGCTTCAAGCCTGCAACGCTGACGACGCGGCCTGGTCGGAGAAACGGAGTCGCGAAGAGAAGATTTAGAGAAGGAGAGGCGGCGGGCGAACTGCAAAGCGAGAGGCAGGTGAGTGAAGGGGTTAGGGGTCTGGAGTCTCGTTGCTTTTTTTAATTTTAGGGTTTCGGTAAAATGCCGCGTTCCAGGTGTCTTGGGCGGTAAAACGCCACTGATTTCGGTAATACCGACTTACCGTCGGTATTTACTGAGACTGGGGGCGGTAAATTGGATGTCCCAAGCGGCCCTCGATTACCGATTATCGAGTTACCGTTTGTCAACCCTAGCTATTGGTAAGGTCAGCGAGCGTGGTGCCCTTTGGATGCCAATTGTACATGGGCGATGGGCCGTGCTTGGACCGGCACGGCACGGGCACGCTTTGGGCCCATTTATTTCGTGTCGTGCTTGGCACGGCCCGTCAGTTTTCGTGTCGTGCCATGCAAGCCCATTTCTTAACTTTGCTAGGCCCCGCCCAGGTCCGGACACGGTTCGAATCGTGTCGTGCCTATTCGTGCTTGTGTCATGCTCGTATTCGTGTTTAAAGAAAAGGACGAAAACAAAAGAGAGAATGAAAAAGAATGTGAAAATTGGACGGAGGAAGATAGTATTAACCGATAATGTTTGAGAAAAGTAACAAATAAGGGGGAAAAGAAAGTTGGAAGTATAGCGAGTGTGATTTGGCTTTGTTTAATTCTTTGTTCATTTTTACTTATATTAGTAATTACGTATATATCTTTATGACACTTCTAACAACAACAAATAAATTTTTTCTACTTATGTTTTGTAATATTTGAACCTATAATTTTTTATATTTATTTTATATCAAATAAAGATTATTTTTGTGTCATACCGTTCTTATACTCAATAAAGTCTCGAAAATATTAGGTCCGACACTGCCCACTTATATACCGTGTCTTGCTCATGCCCGTGCTCGTGCCCATGAAGTTTAGGCTCGGCACGGCCCCTAAATTATTCGTGCTCGTGTCGGACAGGCCTATTTATTTCGTGCTCGTGCCGTGCTCTAACTGTGCCGTGCCGCGCTAGCCCGTGGACGGCACGGCCCGTGCCCACGTACAATGCCAATACGTCTAGGTGTATTTTGGCCTTTGCCATTGAAACGCTCTGCCTCTCCTGCCAAGAACCCTAATGAGTGTCACCGTTAGAGAAAGATATTGGGGCTTGTCGTCGGTGGTGTTTTAGCTCTTGTAATTGGGGCCGGGTCGATCACGATTTTGTACAGAAAGCGGAAGAAGAGGAAGACGGATGAGGCAGAGCTCGAATTTGTGGGCAGTTTCAAATCTGTCGTGCTTCCCAATTCTAGGGTGAAGTGGTTTCAGCGAGCAGAGCTCGAAAAGGCTACGAATGGGTTTTCATTTTCAGAGGAATTTCCTGGGAAAAGGAGCTCATGGTGCTGTGTACAAAGGTTGTTCTTTCGGATGGCAGTTCTATTGCTGTGAAGGAAATGCACGATCCTGAATCCTTGCGGGATGAGGACTTCTCCAACGAGGTTGAGATCCTAAGCAAGATCAGGCACATGAATCTCCTCTGCCTCCGTGGCTGTTGTGTTACCAGCGACGTCTTCAGAGGTCGGAGGAGGTTTCTGGTTTACGATTACATGTCGAATGGGAGTTTTGGTGATCATCTAGCTAGTGATTATACCAGGAATGGACTGATCGAGTAAACTGATTCATTCCCATAAATCAATGTTTTAGAGAATGGGCCCTATATTACTCTCTTACACAATTCCTAGTCAGCTCATCAGTCTGGGAGGCTCTCCACAATATCTTAGCATTGAAATCAGCTCCAGAAATCCATGGTGCAATTGAGATTGAGCAGCATCAGAACAGAATTGATGCTTGTGTATCTGGAACCAACTTCTCTCAATGATTCTCCCTTCGCCTCCGTGCTTTCACTTTGCTGCAGCCATTCTTTGCATAGTGACCAATCAGACAATTGGGAACTTGGAGTTTGTACGCTGAAGGGTGCACATTAGGAGTTGCAGTTGCTAGTTGCTACTCGTCACAAGACTGAAGTTTGTATGAAGCTTCAGCACGTGCTTCTTCCAACTTCATCAGGAGCTCCTTCACAAAGGGTGTATTCGTTCCGTGAGTAACTCCAAGTACTCTTGCTGCATTCGTCAGAGAACTGATAGCATTCTCCGTATCTCCAAGCAACCTGTCACACCCCCAGCATCAAATCAGTAACGCTTATGTTACTTTACCCTTAAGGTAATTGCCTTGAGGGTTTACAAGAATTCTAAAATGGGCGCCAGAATGGGAAACTCTGGAAGTTCGAACCATCAAGTGCAATCCACATAACTGAGAAACAATATAGCTGACAAGTGCTAGTTCGAATTCAAAGAACAGGGACCAGGGTGATTTTTATGAATGTCTAAAGTTACAGGATTCGATGCTTGGTAGCTTAACGTCGAAAGTTGAAAAACATGAACTACTGGATTGAAGAAAATTGACCTAAAGTATCAGGGAATGTGTCAAGTACTAAACAGAGAAAGTAAAAGGATTGAACGAGATGCTAGGTGTGAAGGGAAGAGTACAGCAACTAACCACTCAAGCTTCCCACATGTGTAATACTGCAATCCGAGTAATGGATGGAATTCTGGATAAACTTCTGCAGGCAGGAAATGGGACACAAACACACAAGCAAATGAACAAACATATGCTTTTAGAACTCTTGTACTAACTATTCTATTCACACTCAAATCTGGAAGCGGATAACCAAAACCATAGATATCAGAACTCTTTTGACTATTCCACCGCTGAATAAAAAGTTTGAATAGATGTTCATAGCTCATCCATTAAGTGTAAAATTATGATGAAAGCCTCCACAATATGACCAAGGAGTTTAGATGATAAAAACAGGCATAATATTGATAAAAAGTACCTACTTTGATAAACAGGAATGGTCAATTTGCAATATTCCAGAGCTCCTTGCCAGTCTTCTTGATCCATCAACATCTAAAGGAAATTTCATCCCATCTCATCAGACGCTGGTGATACTGTCAAGCATTATATGACTACAAGACGGATTTCATGATACAAACAAAGAAGAGGGAATGCAGATGTCACCTTGAGAAGCTTTTCACGAGTTTGCAACAAAATAACTGTATAGGGGTGGAAAAGTTTCCTTTGCATCGTCTCAACATGTTTAAGAACGCAGATTGATTCCTTGGCATCTAAGTAATGAGGTAAGGTTGACAAATTAATATCTGCTTAGCCTTTGCAACAATAAATGTACAGGGCTTCATAAATTTTTGAGAAGTGAAACCACTCTCAGTTCAAATGTTTAGATGGATACTGTTATTGGACATAGACTTCTGAGCTTCTTCAGACAACCCATTTATTTCTGCAGCCAATTTTTGTAATTCTTCCTTGCTTCTCAGGTTTCTGCAGGATTGGCATACAAACTTTTTGTTGTCTGCAAAGGAACAAAGTTACTGAATAGCTGCTTAGGCAAAGGATCCACTGGTTGGCCTCAGTATACTATCACAAAAGTATCTTATACCAGAATCACGGAGTAAGAAGCCATTGCATTTTTCGTTCGTGCATCGGTAACCTTCCAAAATGGCACTTTCCTGAACATCATCTGGCTGACCCTGCAGTACACTTGTATACAATTAAGTTTACATAGCTTTATGCTGTATCATATAAAGAAACCTACAGGCTACAATTCAAGGGAATTATTTCTTCCCCCTGATTCTCAAATTTCTTTTTAACATAAATCTGTGACAAGTGACAACTTGAAGTCTAGAATGAACCACCTAAAGAAGCAGATGAACCTGCTACACATCTGATCTAAACTTTACACCGACACATAAATAGACATCTAGAAAACCTTGCTTAGATAAAGCCCTTTAGTAATGAACAAAGGCTTTTTAGGCAGAGATGTAGTATGTACCACTTTGATGCAACGGAGGCAAGCACACGTGAAAAAGTATTGTTCTTTCAGAGCCTTTTGCCGAGTCGCAGTACTTCCAGCAGTCTCAATGTAAGATATGAGTACCTTGCAGGATGAAATAACATATCATGCCTTCCCTTCTGAATGGTACATCATCTTATGACATTTTATTACAATCACAAAAGCTTAACATGAACATAGTTTCCCTGGAGCACCAAAGAATTACTGGGTACGGAAATGTGCAAGAAAGGATAAAACAGAGTATGCCTACCTTACCTCACCACCTTTTGGTATATGTTCCACGGCTCTTACCACCGCTAAACTTCCTTCAAATACCAGTACAGCATTTGGCAAGCAGCTGTAGGAACAAAAGACATAATAGTTAACTCAGAAGAAAGAAAGTAAGACGAAGGAAATATAAAATAGTCATTCCAAGCTACGTACCTATGATTGATGATGGATATAACTGGATAGAGGCCTGTCCCAAGGGGCCTCAGTTCACTGTCAGAGAGGGTATGAGCATTGCAAGCTAGCTGCACGTGTTGACAAACAACGAGAACCAAGCATAACGAGAATCAATACTTGGAGTGCATTACAAAAGGAATTCAGATAACTCATTTAGCTACCAGTATTTCAAATCATACCCACTAGACCTATGACGGGAAAAAATGTCTAACTATTTGATAACTGCTCAGACGAACACAAATGGCAGCTTAAGATCAATAACCTTTCGCTTTCCCCAATTCAAAGGAAGAATCTTGAATTGAGACATAGGATGTGATAAAGCACCTAAATTCCAAACCTAAAGTATCTGGCAGAACCATGAAACAGAGCTAGAACAGCCAGATGAAGAGCTAAATGACATAATAATGTTGTTCTGACCCTCGAAAAATTTTGGGCAATTTCTTTGACGTTGATCTCAGAGTCAGGCCATTGAAGCATCAGGTAGACAAGGTTGGCCATCTGAGCATACAGCAGGAGTTGTTTCTCATCAATGTCTTCCATGTCTACCCCAAAGAGTTAAGCAAACCAATCTAGTAAATGAATCTCAATTACACAATAACATTGCAGAATTATATTTGGACTTTGGTAAAATAAAACCACACATGGTCAAAAGGATACGAGCCACCAATGCATCCACCAGATTATAGTTCTCTGTGGGGGGTGTTGAGATGACCTGGATAAGAGAAATAAGTGCAGTAAGCCAACATGTTCAATGAGTACCAGAAAACATCAAAAGCTCGAACAGTTGAGTGCAATAAATTAATGGCATAGAACTTACCTTCTCGCTTTCCAGTTTCCTTCTAAGATAAAGCTTCAACATCAAACGGATGGTAGGAGTAACAGACTTCCGCCTGCCCTTTTCCAGCTTAGAGAGCATATTGCACTCTAGACGATGCAGTTGCCATTGTGATTTCTGAAAAAGATACACACACGCCCATGCAGGCACAGCATGTCAATGATTGATCCAGAGAATAATCTGTTTGTTTTACTTCTTCTTCACTCGATAGTAACTGAAAGTAGGGAAAATGAGTGCAAGTATATAACTTTTGACAATGGTGGAAGCACTCATGGAAAACCCAAAAAACATGGTTTCTTCGTTGCAAACTTCCGAGAAGCGAAACTACTGAATACTTTCAACCGAGCAAAAATACTAACCTGGCAAGTGGTCCCACAATACCACACAACTTGACAACCGGAGCACTTCTTGAGGTTACTCGTCGTGAAACATCCATCGCACCGCGATTCACCCGAACTGTTGTTTGGAACACACACGTACGGATTCTGACTTATTATAACTTCCCCTGAAACATTGCAACGGGTTTATGCTCAGCAACCGTTCGACGAAATGCCGCAACGAAGCAAATTATGGATTTTGCAGTTCCGGAATGGGTAGAGGAAAACCTGGATAGAAATCTTTGTCGGCCAAAAGGCATCGACCTTTGTCTGGCAGATTAGAAATAACTAAGCCTCGAGATCGCAACGCCATTCTCAAACCCTCCATTCCAGCAGCGAACCAATTGTTCTCTCTCTCTCTCTTTGACAAAAGGCTTGCAAATGGGTTGGCAATCGACTGTAGTGCCCGCCCCCGCTCGCAATATTGTGGCGCCAAATTCTGAATTTGATCTTCCTAGAGTCTGAGAGATGAGAAGCTTTCAAATGACCGGGCGCTAAAAAGCTGCAGCTAGTCCGTTGCTTGCTTCCCCTCCTGTGTTGAGCTGGTTTTTGGTTTGATTACGGCGAAACTCGGTTTTGGTGATGGATAAATGAGCAGCCGTTCAAAGTCTAGGGGACCGGTTATTGTAACAACACCCATTGTGTTGTTATTGTAACAACACTAGTCCCCAACTAATAGGAAGCTAGGATTGTAATGACTTTTTATTAAATGAGTTGACCTAGTGTAAAATCAAAGTAGGGGTATAATTGTCATTATGAAAAATCTATTTAAATAAAAAAAATAAAATAAAAAAATAAAAATAAAAAAATATTTTTTTATTTTCTGCCCAAAAATTTGGTCGTCGGAATTCTACCACCGGTCGCCGGAAAATGGTTGCCGGTCACCGGAATATGCTTACCGGAGTCGGAATATGCTTACCGGCGTCGGAATATGCTTACCGGCGTCGGAATATGCTTACCGGCGTCGGAATCTAGTCACCGGGGCCGGAATATGCCTATCGGCGTCGGAATCTGCTCACTGACGGTCACCGGAGTTCGGTCAACGGTCTTCGTTGACCGGTCAACGGTCAACGATCACCGGATGTCATGGTTAGCATTGTGAGATTTATGGTTTGGTTTCTCATATTGTTTTATGCCTTTTATGGTTTGTTTTATCGTGTTTGTGGTTTGCATTGAGAAGTTTCTGGTTTGCTTTCAAAAACTTTGTGGTTTGCATTGTGAGGTTTTTGGTTTGTTTTAATATATTTGTGGTTTGTATTAGGACGTTTATGGTTTTTTTTTGTGGTTTGATTTACTATGTTTGTGGTTTGCATTAGGAGGTTTCTGGTGTGCTTCCTACATGTTGTGGTTTGCTTTGTGAGGTTTGTGGTTTGTTTTAGGAGATTTGTGGTCTAAATTAGAAGGTTTCTGGTTTGCATTAAGAAGTTTCTGGTGTGCTTTCGAAACTTTTGTGGTTTGCTTTGCGAGGTTTCTGGTTTGTTTTAATATATTTGTGGTCTGCATTAGGACGTTTTTGGTTTATTTTACTGTGTTTGTGGTTTGCATTAGAGGGTTTCTGGTGTGCTTTTCAAAATATTTGTCGTTTGTTTTGTGAGATTTCTGGTTTGTTTTAGGAGACTTGTGACATGCATTGGGAGATTTCTGGTATGTTTTTTGTGGTTTGTTTTGTCGTATTTATTGTCTACATAATATTTGTGTTTTGTTTATCTAGTGAACACCTGGTGTTTTTGCTTTTCGTCAGCTGATACCTGGGCTTGATTCTAGTCTCCAATCCATACGTGAAATATTCAGGAAAATCGACAAGCTCCTTGATTGGCCGTCCCATTTCACTTTTGAAAAAGTAGAAGCTATTCTTCATGAGTGCAACTCTCGATGCAAGTAACTGTGGACATTTCACAACCATCTTGGCAAGTATAACCTTCTCTAAAAGGAACTGAGCATGTTTAAGTATAACCTGTTGACTAAGACTAACAATCTGAGGCATCTTCTCGATCACTTAAGCAAACCCTTCTGGTTCTACCTTGAGCTTCAAGTACAAATATGAAAATAAAATTGACATTCACTGCTGCTGCAATTTCCGCCAAACAGTCGGCCTCCTCGCAGCCCACCCAGTTACGCCGCTACTCTCCCTGCACCACATCGACGTCATCAACCCGATCTTCCCAAAAGCCAGCCGCCTCCAGTCCCTCCAGCGCCTCACGCTCCCGATGACCCTCGACCCGCCGGCGCTCATCTGCTACGACCACAAACGGCACCGGACGGTCTCCGTCTCGTGGGGCTACGCCTTCCAGATCGTCAGGGGCACCGTCTCCCCTCCGCACCTTCGTCAACTGGCACAAGAAAGCCGATTACAGTGGCTACGCCTTCAACACCAGGCCCGTTCACCCGACGACGGCGGGGAAGAAGCAGGGACAACGGGGTAAAAGCGGGACAGGAGGGAAGAAGGGGGCGGCGGGGAAGAAGGGTCTCGATGGGTGAAGGAAGATGAGGTTTGCTGCGGGATTAAAATTTAAAGCGACCTTAAATTTTAATCAAATTTATTTTATTATTTTCAGTATAAGTTTACCTTTTTACCCTTAATGAATCATGTTGTTATTATAACAACACAAATGGTGTTGTTATTCTATCCCGTCCCTTAGGGAGAATCTCGAGACAGTAGCAGAAGTTCCGAGACCGGAAATTTTGGGCTAAACCAATCTGGGCCGTTGGGTTCAAAATGAATAAACCCCTTAATTATGTGACTAAGTGCATGTCAGCTATTCAATTTAATTAAAATCTAATGGCTATAAATAATTTAATCCAATGTAGGATAGAGTAGTAAATTCATATTGTATTTATTTAAGAATAAAAAAATCATTGTTGGCGCCTCCCATCTTCCGTTCCGTCCCGCCTTCCGCCGGCCTCCCATCTTTCATGCGCCGGTCACGGTTCCTCCCGCCTGGGAAATAATATCCGAGAGAAAGAGAGGTGGTCTTGAGGAATTATTTCCCCAGCTTCCTTGCGGGGAGGGAGAGAGGGAGGGAGAGAGAGAGATTTTCAGCGACAGTGGCAGTTTGTTATGTTTGTCAGACTATTTTGTAATGTTTGTAAGCTGGTTTGTAATTTTGTATTAATTCAGTTTATATCGTTTATTATTCTATTTTGTCATTTTTATCTTTTATGTTTGTAATGTTTATATGACTAATTTGTATATATTGTCATTTGTAATGTTTGTTTGTTTGTGTTTGTATACTTTGTATTTATTGGTTTGTAATTCCAGTTAGGGTTGATAAACGGTTATCCGGTTAACGGTAAACCGTTAACTGGGCGGTTTCGGTATTCGGTGGGAGAAACACAGCTAACGGTATACCGACCCATATCCAGTTAATCGGTATACCGCTTATACCGATATATAATGAAAAACCACCTTTTTCCATCAGTTTAATGGCTTCTGTCCTCTCCCCTATTATCTCCTCTCTCAATCTCCATCGAGAAAAAATCCCCTCTAAACCCATAGACACCCTCCTCTCCTATGTTCTCTCCTCTTTCCATCTCCATCGAGAAACAATTCTCTTCAAACCCATAAAAAGATGAAACCCCTCCTCTTCTCTTTCTCGATTTGTTGACCTGGACCACGTCGTGCCGATTCTTCATCTTCAGAGGGTCTCCGATACGTCACCAGATCTGGAAAATACCTATTGAAAGAGCTCTGTGTTCTTCGTCGGCTCGTCGGTACTCACCCAGCCACCGCCTTTCTCCACTCCGTTGCTACCTTCGCCGCTGCTGTGGAGAACCTAGAACCCGATTCCAGATTTTGTTGGGAAAATACGACTAGTCGCTCTCGCTCTGCCTCTCGATTCCAGATCGGGTGTCATGCAAACTCCTCGCGCGACGACTCTCTCTTCCTATCGAGGTTAGATCCGGCGACATGCTATCTCCCTCGCGCAGCGGTGCTTAGTACCTCTCGATTCCAGATCTGGATACATCGCCAGTGACTCGCTCTGCCTCTCGAATCCAGATCCGGCGCCATGCAACTCCCTTGCGCGGCGACGCTTTCTTCATCTCCAGGCCAAATCTCTTTTCTCTCTCGATTTCAGTTTCGGAGTCGCGGCCGGGACATGATACTGGTCACTCGCCGCCGAGAAAAATTCATCATTGTCGGGGTTATAAGGTTACGGGTTCGTAACTGGTAACCGGCTATTTAGTAAATGGTAAACCGACCATTTTTCGGTACTGGTAGTCGGCAGTGGTTTTCCCTAATCCGGTATACCGTTAACCGGTTATTCGGTTACCGGTAACCGACCGATTACCAGCCCTAATTCCAGTTTACCGATTTGTATTATAAGTAGTGGTATTTTGTACACTTAGTATGATTTGTACTGTTTTTCGTTTTATTTTGTAATGTTTGTACGCTTTGTGATAGACCGATAATTACACATGTTTTTACCCCTATTCTTTAGCCGGTTGAGATGTTGATTCTCGTGTTTTAAGCCGATTTCACGCTAGGTTGTGCGTTTATGTCATATTTCAGGACCCGGCGTTGGAATCGAGGCAAAGGAACGAGATTCGGGTGGAAAGGAGCAAGTGAGGCTTGAAGTGTGCTGGAGAGCAAAAATACCCGGCCATGAGCAGAAATACCCGACCGGGTATTATCTGGCCATGGTCGGGGATTTTTGGCTTTGGGCGTCCGTGAGAAACAGAAGGGGGCCCGGGCAGGAGGCAAAAATCCCCGGTCGGGGATTATTGGAAGAGACCGGGGATTTCCCCTGAGGCCGAAATGGTGCGCTTCAATTATACCCGATCGAGACCCAAAATCCCCGACCGGGTATCGCGACAGGCAGCAGTTTTAAGGGAAAAGAAGGCTGAAAATCAAGGGTTCCGAGTTTTAGAGAGACAGAGCGATTCCTAGAGAGAGAAAGCGACGGACCAGAGTTCCCAAGTGCCATAGCTTGATCTTCATCACCATTGGAGCCCGGCTTGAGCTTGGAGAAGTGCCGATTGACAACCAGGAGCCGAAACTCATCCTTCACAGTATGATTTCCGCGTCCGAATCTGCTTTTGTTCCTACCTCCATGGAGTAGTTTCCCCATTCATCTGGGTATGGGGAACCCTAGATTTGTATGTTAGGTCTGATTGTATGAACCCAAGTACAGAGTTTATGATTAGATTATATTCGATTGAGGCTTGAATGATTGAATGACTTGAATCCTGATCAAATTCCTGTTGTTTCTACCTTAACCTAGAATGAGAATATCTGCCTAGGTTGATAGAGCATCCTTAATTGAAGGTAGTGAATTGGCGACTTTAGTCGAGGAGCCAATTCGCTATTCTGTACCGAATTCAATTCGGTAGTGGAGGTTTGGTTCGTTAGGGCCTCAATCTGTTTACTCCGGTGGAGGTTAGTCGCCCGCTGGAGACTCAGATTGAGAGGGTCTGGAGACCTTTAGTCGAGACTTCAGACTGTTTAAGAACCTTCCGCAGTATAACTTTCATGAAAACTGAACTTGGTAAATTGCAATCCGGCTTAACTGCAGTCTAGGGGGAACCATATCCGGGTGACCTCTCTCGACTTGAAAACAACCGTTTAACTTGCTTTGTTTGTTTGTTAATTTGGACTTGCACTAAAGTTTCACTGCTAGATAACAAGAATTCACCGAGTAGTCATCAAATCTAGGACCCGGGTTGACATTAAAACCCAAACCCGCTATACTACGCTTTAGGAAGTGGTTACACTTGGCCATTTTCTAGAGTGACAGTAGGAGTGAGTCACTTTGTTATTTTTGTAATGTTTGTTGGTTTATTTTGTAATGTTAGTAAGCTTTGTTATTTTTGTTCACCATTTTTGTCATTTTTGTCAACCATGTTTGTAATGTTTGTATACTTCTCATTTGTATGATTTGTATTGTAAGTAGTTGTAAATTGTACATTTAGTATGTTTTGTATACAATGTTAGTACTATTTGTATACTTTTATGATGGTGGTTTGTATACTTTTATGATGTGGTTTGTGTACTTTGTAATATTTAGTAGTGATGTTTTTGGTTAGTAATCTTTATATATAATTTTAACTTAATTTGTATACTTATATCATGTCTATCTAATACTTTTTAATATTACTTTCTATACTTTTATGATATAGTTTGTATACTTTGTCTTATTGATTTGTAAAGAAATTTACATCGATTTGTATTGTAAGTAATTGTATTTTTTATACATGGTAATACTAGTTCGTACATATTTATGAAATGATTTGTACAATTTTATATTCTGATTTGTAAATCATTGATTTTTTCATTTCATTATAATGTTTGTACATGATTTATATTTACTTTGTGTATTTTTCTAGTACAGATTGCACATTTTGGATGTTACTTTGTGATTTTTATTTTTAAAATAGAAAAAATCTCATAAAAAAAGAAACAAAGAAAACGCATGGGAGGTTTAAAAGTGATTAATAAAGAAATATCATAATTATGTTGTAAAGTAAAAAAGCAGAATTATTAAAAAAAAAAAAAAGAGGGAGACGTTCGTGGCCCAGAGAAGGAAAGGAAAGGGAAATAAACAAAAAAAAAAAAAAAGTAAATCACTTTTTTATAATACCATAACTACCCTTTTCATTAATTAAATATCAATTCCTATTTTTTAGTCATTATATTAGAATATCTAGATCTAACGGGTAGGATTGGCTTAGTCACTTGACTAAGGACCCCCCTTAGTCACAGGATCCGCTCTCCCACGAAAAGTACTGTATCGGCTATCGCACACCCTACTTCATCTCATTTATTCGCGTTCACGATTTACCCTTTCAATTTCGATCACATCAACTCATCTCCGACCTACCAAACCCTAGACCTAAGCAACCCTCTCTATTTCAATGACGGCTAAGGATGCCTTGGAAAATTCGCAGAAGTTAATATGCTAACTGCATTATTCGTTAGCAGATACTCACGGGGTCAGATTTTGGGCCACGTCTGCTTGGGCTTCATCCAACGGAGGAGAGAGGCGGCTGGGTGGTGGCTCACTTAAATGAGCTGGAGATGGGCTTCCGTGTAGAAGCCGGCCCAGCGTGCGGCGTAGAAGGCGAGCCGAGCAAGTGGCGTGGTGGGCCCGGCTTCAGTTTGGGCGGGATTTTGGGGTTGGAGTGGAAAGAGAACGAAATTTTTGGGCCCCATGTGATATATATGTATGTTTTTTTGTGTGGATATTTATTTGTTTTTCGGTCGATATTATTATGTGTTGTGTTGATATTACTTTGCATCATTGTTGAAATGAACTAGTATTCTTCCTTCGCAAGCCAATATCCATCATTAAATTAATATTTACCAAACCCCAAAATAACCCAACCACCCGAAATTGATTACACCAATTTAGAGTTTAAGTTTTAGGGTTTATGGTTCGGTTTTCAATTTGTGAAGGATTGGAATATTGTTTCTTACATCAAATTAAACACACTAGGAAATTAAACACACTAGGAAGTCCTAACACGTAAGGCTTGCAACCTTAGTTAGGGCTGCCCGCCGAGGGCCCATGGGCCGAAGGCCCATTAAATAATAATAGTTTTATGGTTTAGGGTTTGTGTTACGGTTTAATGTTAAGGGTTTAGGGTCTAGCTTAGGTTTGAATTGATATTAGTTCATGTTTTCGAAAATTTTCTTGGACTTTTGGATATTCTAATAGGGCTTTTTGGTAAAGTGATTAGGGTGTTAGTGTTAGGGTTTAGGAATTTTTTTTAGGGTTAAAGGTTTAATTATTAGTCTTGTGGTCGTTTGCAATGAATGGATATTAGTTTACGTGGTTCGGATATTAGCTTTTGGTTGAATTGATATTAGTTCGTGCTTTCGAATATTTTTCTGTGAAGTTTGGATATTCTAATGGGCACTTTTGGTAACTATTTCGATGTGATCCTTTGTTTATTTAAGCATCTAGCACTTTTGGTAACAATTCGGATTAGTCTACAACTATCATATATTAGTAAGTATGTGGTGGATATTAGTCTCTCATAGTGATAATATCCATTTTGGGATCACATGATATTCTTATGAGACAGAAGGATATTAGACTGGGTGGTGTGGATATTTGTCTGGGTAGTGTGGATATTCGTTTTAGTTTTAGTATTTAAGGTTCATTAGTTCATGTTTTCGGATATTTTTTTGGGACGTTTGGATATTCTAATGGGACACTTTTGGTAACTATTCCGATGTGATCCTTTGTTTATTTAAGCATATGAAATAATAATAGTTTTTATGGTTTAGAGTTTAGTGATTAGGGTGTTAGTGTTAGAGTTTTTGTGGAACCTTAGAATATTCTCGACTTGGGCAAACAATAACAGTTTTATTTTTTAGTGTTTAGTGATTAGGATTTTAGAGTTTAGAGTTTTGGGTTTAGGGTTTAGGGTTAGGGTACAAATAGAAGATATTAGTTGGTGTGTTGTGGATACTTGTCTTTCCTAGTTGTAATACTTTTTACTAACCACAATATATTTATTTAAAATATTTTGATATTTGTCCGGGTTGTGTGGATATTTATTTGAACCTGAGGAAATATTCCCTTAGTTCATGTGTTTGGATATTTGTGTGGAACCGTTGAATATTCTCGGCTTGGGCAAACAATAATAGTTTTACTTTTTAGTGTTTAGTGATTAGGATTTTAGAGTTTAGAGTTTAGAGTTTAGGGTTAGGGTACAAATGTAAGATATTAGTTAGTGTTTTGTGGATACTTGTCTTTCCTAGTGTTAATACTTTTTACTGACCACAGGATATTTATTTAAAATATTTTGATATTTGTTCGAGTTGTGTGGATATTTATTGGAACCTGAGGAAATATTCCCTTAGTTCATTTGTTTGGATATTTGTGTGGAACCTTTGAATATTCTCGGCTTGGGCAAACAATAATAGCTTTATTTTTTAGTGTTTAGTGATTAGGGTTTTAGAGTTTAGAGTTTAGAGTTTATGATTTAGGGTATAGGGTACAAATGTAAGATATTAGTTAGTGTGTTCTGGATACTTGTCATTCCTAGTTGTAATACTTTTTACTAACCACGGGATTTTTATTTAAAATATTGTGATATTTGTCCGGGTTGTGTGGATATTTATTTGAACCTGAGAAAATATTCATTTAGTTCATGTGTTTGGATATTTGTGTGAATATTAGATATTAGTTTTGCAATGAATGGATATTATAAGGGTGTCTATGTGGACGTGTATGACAAGGTTTGTGGCTTTTACATGGATTGGTTTGTGTCGATGTTCCTTGATGTCCTTGTTGAGTTGTTTTTCATTTCCAATTCAGAGTCGTTGAATTTATACCATCAGAAATTGATAAAACCAATTTAGTGTTTAGAGCTTAGGGTTAGTGTTTCAGGTTTAGAGTTCGAGTTTTGGTTTAGTGTTTAGGGTTCGGGTTTATGGTTTAGGGTCAAGTTTGGAGTTTTGGTTTAGTGTCTAGGGTGGTTCGATATTTGTCTCCAGTGATAGGATATTATTATGGATAGGAGGATATTAGTTTGTGATGTGTGGATATTTGTCTTAGTAGTCGGATATTAGTTTGCGGGGGTAAGATATTAGTCAGTGTGTGGTGGATATTTGTCTATGATGGTGAGGATAATAATTATGGTATGACTGGATAATAGTCTGAGACGAAGGGATACTAGTCTGGGTGGTGTAGATATCTGTGATGGTGAGCGGATATTAGTCTGGGATAGTCGGATATTAGTCTGGGTGGTTTGAATTTTTGTTCTGTATGGATGTTTATCTACATTGGTTTTCAAGTATGAAGAAATAGTGTGTGTATATATATATATATATATTATTTTTTGATGAAAATTTGAAAGTAAGGTCTTTTTCAACCTATGATAATTGCTAATTAAGAGACTATGGCTGGATATGTGGTCACATATTAATCTGTGATAGTGAGAATATTAATTTCGGGATGATTAGATATTAGTATGAGACGGTGAGATATTAGTGCGACAGTCGGATATTAGTTTGAGTGGTTTGGATATTTGTTTTGTGGAGATGTGTTTTCGACGAGCAAATAATATTCCAGTATAAAAAACTCGAATTCTTAATAAAAAGAGTCGTTTGATAGACAAATCGCGATAAAACTAGTATTTAATGTCATTACAACTTGGCAATCCAAGAATTTTAAATCCGAAAAGCACAACCACATAAGAAATGAGAAAGCAATAGTTCAACTGTTGTCTTGCTGACGCTTGATAATTTTTTTGAGCGCGTCGTCCCGAGCCCTCCACATTTGGATCATGCTCTCAACCATTGACTCCATTGCCGCAAGCTACATATGTTGTAAAATATTTAGTTTACTATATGCAACCATGTCACTTAAGAAGCAAAGACAACATCTATGTACCTGATTTAGGTCAAGGTTGTCAAAATCTTTGTTTTCCCAGCATGATGCGTCTGGATTGAGCCAGTGATGTGTCTCCGCCTCCCCTTCTCTTGGAGGAGCTGGCATTGAACACCTTTTGGATTTTGTCATCTTGGACAATTCCTGAAAATAGCTAATATCATTGAACTAATATCCATACAAGGCATAAAAATATCCAGACCTAGCATACAAATATCTATGCATCACATAACCAATATCCTGACAATCAACCACAATACAATATCCACATTAAACTAAATGGTATTCCATGCTATCTAAACAATTTTTCAGGTAAAAAATATCAAATTAACGAGCAAAATCCAGTAACAATTCCTGAAAAGAGCTAATATCATTGAACTAATATCCATACATGGCATAAAAATATCCAGACCTAGCATACAAATATCTATGCATCACATAACCAATATCCGGACAATCAACCACCAAACAATATCCACATTAAACTAAATGGTATCTCATGCCAGCTAAACAATTTTCCAGGTAAAAAAATATCAAATTAACGAGCAAAATCCAGAAACCCCAAACAATATCGACATCAAAAAATGAATCCCCCAAATCGAAACAAATCCAAATTGAAAGAAATCCCAGCCACAAAAAAATCACAGATCCCCCAAATCGAAAGAAATCCAAATCCCCCAAATCAAAAGAATCCCAGATCCCCCAAATCGAAACTCAAATCCCCCGACAAGAATCCCAGATCCCTAACAATGAATCTCAGATCCAAAAAACGAAGCAAAAAAAAAACTCAAATCCAGTCGAATCTATGAAACCCTAAATCAAATATATGTAATCCAGCTACAGAAAATCCCAGATCCCCCAAATCGAAAGAAATCCAAATCCCCCAAATCAGAAGAATCCCAGATCCCCCAAATCGAATCTCAAATCCCCCGACAAGAATCCCAGATCCCTAACAATGAATCTCAGATCCAAAAAACGAAGCAAAAAAAAAAAAAACTCAGATCCAGTCGAATCTATGAAACCCTAAATCAAATATATGTAATCCAGCCACAGAAAATCCCAGATCCCCCAAATCGAAAGAAATCCAAATCCCCCAAATCAAAAGAATCCCAGATCCCCCAAATCGAACCTCAAATCCCCCGATAAGAATCCGAGATCCCTAACAATGAATCTCAGATCCAAAAAACGAAGCAAAAAAAAAACTCAGATCCTGTCGAATCTATGAAACCCTAAATCAAATATATGTAATCCAGCCACAGAAAATCCAAGATCCCCCAAATCGAAAGAAATCCAAATCCCCCAAATCAAAAGAATCCCCGATCCCCCAAATCGAATCTCAAATCCCCCGACAAGAATCCCAGATCCCTAACAATGAATCTCAGGTCCAAAAAATGAAGCAAAAAAAATAAACTCAGATCCATTCGAATTTATGAAACCCTAAATCAAATATATGTAATCCAGCCACAGAAAATCTCAGATCCCCCAAATCCCCCAAATCAAAAGAATCCCAGATCCCCAAATCGAATCTCAAATCCCCCGACAAGAATCCCAGATCCCTAATAATGAATCTCAGATCCGAAAAACGAAGCAAAAAAAAAACTCAGATCCAGTCGAATCTATGAAACCCTAAATCAAATATATGTATTCCAGCCACAGAAAATCCCAGATCCCCCAAATCGAAAGAAATCCAAACCCCCCAAATCAAAAGAATCCCAGATTCCCCAAATCGAATCTCAAATCCCCCGACAAGAATCCCAGATCCCTAACAACGAACCTCAGATCCAAAACACCTACATCAAAGGAAGATGCTTACCTCAAAAACTTTCTTCTCTTCGCAGCTGGTGTAGTCGTCTTCCTCGCGCTACTAGCGTCGATGTCTTCCTTCTTGCTCGGCCGACTTCGTCTTTCTTCAAGCAACGCTACCGGCGTTGCCAAGCACCGCCGTCTTCTTCCTGCCCGTAGCCCTCGTCGTCTGCGTCGTGTTTCTCACACCCGTCGTTGTCGAGAGGTATTTTGAATTATTTGGGAGATAGAGAGAGGAAGAAGAAGAAGAACAAAACAGAGCAATCGACAGTTTTGGAGAGTGGAAGAGAAAGGAAAATGAAATGATGGAGAGAGAAAAGAAAATTAAACATAAATGAAAAGGTTGAGTTTTTTTGAATTGTAAAGAAAAAAGGGCTAATACCACTACAACACCCGAACTATCCGGAAAATGCCACTTCTGTCCTATTGTTTCCAATATTCCATTCATATCCTGAACTATGATACTTTGTGTCATTTGTATCCTGTCAATTTCGTTGACCGTTAAAGATAACGGTTGACCAAACGGTGGTCAACGCGAAGTTGACTTTTGTTGACGTGGCAAAAAATGTGGTTGCCACATAGATGCCACGTCACTGATCTCATATTTTTTTAATTCAAATTAAATAAAAAATTGAGTTATATTCAAAAAACTGTAAATTCAATTATATTATTAAGCCAAAATTTCAAAACAAAATAATGAAAAATCCCATCATTCTTCTTCCCTACCGATTCACCCTCTCTTTCTCTAAAAAATCTCAAAGACCTTCGATTTCCAGCTAATGAAGTCGCCGCATCATCTCCTTCTTCCCCCAATCCGACCCAGCAATGAAGACGATACCGATTTCCATTTTCCAAGCAATGAAGCCGCCGCATCATCTCCTTCTTCTCCCCTCCGCGGTCATGGGCTCTGGTTTTCTGTCAAGCTCAATACCCCATCTCCGCCGTCCGTACTCCTCCCTGATGGACGCAACTTCCGATTTGCACTTCTGGGCTCCGATTCTCTCAGCATCGACATCGATGACGGGTGCAAATAGAATCTCTTTATGCAATCACACAGTCTTTCTGCCAAAAGAAGCTACGACGGATCCGAAGAAAAATAAAACAGATCTGGTTTCATAGTTGATGTCGCCGCTTCACCTCGTCACCATCATCTCTCTGTATCCTCTTTTGGGAGTCTCTGCTACCGTCGCGCGGGTGGAATCCCACGCCAAAATCGACGAGAGGGGAGAACAGGTTCGTTCAAGTGAGCCCAAAAATCAATGGGCGGATGGAATCCCACCCCAAAATCAACTGATGTTGGTGCATTTGTCGGATTCAAGGAAACCCTTCCCAGATCGATGGCGATGACCATCCTCCTCAAATCCCTATGAACTCCCACCGGCCACCAACGACCCTCGCCCTTCTCTCCTACGATTCAACAAAGGGTTTGACTTCCCAGAAGCCAGAGTAGCAGCCTCCACCTCCAATCGATGGCGCCGCCTCAATATCCTCGAAACCCCTTCAGCTTGCTACGTTCGTGTCGGCTGTGTTGGGGAAGAAAGGAAGGAGCGATGATGCCGCCGAGCTACTGGCTCGTCGGAGGGGAGAAGATTGTGGCATTTTTTAGATGTTGGGGAGAAGATTGCGGGGTTTCGGGGAGATTCGGGAGAAGATTGCAGCAGGAAGTAATGGAGGGGGATTCGGGGAGATTAGGTCGGATTTTTGTTTTATTTTATATTTTAATTATTTCCTTTTTCTTATTTTATTAATATTATATGGAAAAAAATTAATATTAAAAATTCCACGTCAGATGCCACATCAGTGCTGACTGGATTTTCTGTTAAAAACTAACGGTCAACAAAAGTCAACACTAACGGAATCATAGTTCAGGACACAGATGGAATATTGAAAACAATAGGACACAAGTGGCATTTTTGCGATAGTTCGGGTGTTGTAGTGGTATTAGCCCAAGAAAAAAAGGAAGAGGTTTGGTTTAGCCGAGCCACAAGCTGCTCTTCTCCCCTTCCACCGTCCGATCGCGGCTTGCCTGACCTCAAATCCGACCGTGTTAGTATATACTGTCATAAACCAGTTAGTCCCAATAACTCGAGTTGTTGGGAGAAGGTCATGTTGGATGCGTGGACTTATAACAATCTCTTACACGCCCCCTCAAACGAAAGCCAACTCACGGGCTTGAAGTTTGCACATGCCCACCATACCTTGTGCTTTAGTCAACTGTTAATATTGGGGGTCGTGGAGATTCGAACATGCGACCACTTGGCCAAACCAGCTCTGATACCATGTCATAACCAGTTGGTCCCAATAACTCGAGTTGTTGGGAGAAGGTCATGTTGGATGCCTCGACTTATAACAATCTCTTACATATACTAACAGCTTATGCTGTTAGCAGAATAACCATATTGTGGAAAATTACCCTCCTCCTGCGCCTTCTTCCTATGACGAGGAGGCTAACGATAGATCCGCTTCCGATCAGCCAAGCAGCCACCGTCGGAATCTCAACCGTCCAAGAAGCTGGATACGTCGGCACATCTGAAAACGGCTTCCGAGACCGAACTCGACTCCGACTCCGATTCCGACGCTGACTCTGACCCTGCTGCGCCGGAGATCGTCGTGCATGCTCTGGATGGTGTAGAACGGGATTTGGTGAAGAAGCTAAGGGAGATGGCAGAGGGATCAGAACGTGCTGAACTGAAGAAAAGGTTGAATAAGTTGGATGTTAAGTATCTAGAGTTCCTCGTCGGGTGATGTTGAATAAGCTAAAAAAGAGAGAATGAGGATTGAGAGATTTGGTAAGACAGTTAAGTAGTAGCTTTTGCTCTGCACATTCTGGTTTTGTTGAACCAAGACAGTTAAGTAGCAGCAGCTTTTCTTTTCAAGTGGATGTGTTGGCATGGTGGTGGTAAAATCACTGTGGATTTTGGTTGTAAAGGTTTAGTATGCTCCTGTGTATCATGTTTTGATTGCTACTGGGTTTTTTCTGCTGAGCTGTTTGCTGCTATCGATTGAAATCTTGGTATTTCAGATGATCAATGTGGATGTTCAAGCCTGATGGCTTCTTTTGCAAGGTAGTGGATGGACGTTTTGACATGATTAGCTTGTTATCTTTAGATGTATGCTCTTCCCACACACACCTAACCCAGCCAATGGCTTTCCACTGAATGCAATTTTTAATTCATTTTAAAAGAAAACCTCGCGTTTATCAGTGAATTAGTTAATTCATCACCTTGTTAACTATTACTAACTTGTCATCATCATTTGGATTATAGTATAGCAGCAATCCTGCAAAGTGGAATGAGCGTCCACACCTGCACACGTCCCATGTGACCACCTGATGCGACCACGACCAATATATGATTGAGATAGAGGATCGTGATAGGAGACTGCAGCTGGGTCGACGACAGTAGTGTCAGCAAGCTTTGACTTGAGGGAGGAGTAGCAGGGAGGTAAGTAGATTACGTTCGGCAAGACAAAGGCTGAGTGTTGTTTGAGGTACTGAGAAACCCCCATTCGGATCAGAGGACGAACAAAGTGGCAGGGTGACAAGTGGTCATGATACTTGTCGATGCAGGTGAAGTTAATCAGACAGGGAAGTGCGGGGAAACCTCTACGCCTAAGAAGTAGTGCAGTGAAGGTGCTGCAGAGAAGGATTGTGGAGATGATGAAGGTGAACTTGACCATCTAACCCCGTCGTTGGATGCTTCTTGTAAAGGAGATATGAGCAGCCAAACAAGTTGTGTCGTGTGCACTTCTGAATTAGCTAGTTTTTTTCTGGTTCAATTCGAGGATTCAAGCCCAGATAGCAGCATCAATAGTTGTTCCATCTTGGCTGCCATGTATGTTGGGAGGATTGCGTACGAGTACGACCCGTTGGATAATAGGACTGCAACTTGTCTGATTGCGGCGCAAGTGGATGGAGTGCGACTTGATCCGCAACCATCGAAAGGTTGGGGCAGAAGGAGAGTGTTACAGTTGGTGTTTGGGGTAGTTGGTGGTTTGATTCTAGTGATTCTTGAGGTTGGGGGTTTTGTTATGAGGGAATATTGCAGGCGGCACAGGAAGAAGGGCTTGGATGAAGAACGTGAAAGCAGTTTCAGTGAAGGTGTTTTACTGTTGGCTAAAATGGGTTTGAAATGGTTTGGTTTCTTAGAGTTGGATTGAGCCACGAATAGTTTTTCTTCTAAGAACTTGGTCGGAAAGGGCACATTTGGGATTGTGTACAGAGGAAAGCTTGAAGATGCTTGTTTGGTTGTAGTGAAGGAGCTTCTGGAAGTTAAATCCCTTGGAAATGATGACATGGAATTCATGAATGAGGTCGAGATTGTGAGCAAGATCAAACACAGGAATCTACTCCCACTCAGAGGTTGCTGCATTGCAGCATCTGATGGGATTAGAGGTAAAAGGAGGTTTCTTGTGTATGAATTCATGGCTAATGGTAGTGGTGCAAACCATTTATCCAATGTGCCAAGAAGAATGCAATTTGGTTGGGAGCAAAGGAAGAATGTTATCATTGATGTGGCTAAAGGAGTCCTTCACTTGCATTGTGGGGTGAAACCGACGATCTATCATCTCGACATAAAGGCCAGCAACATCCTTCTGGATTTGGAGCTAAGAGCTAAAGTTGTTGATTTTGGGTTGGCCAAACAAGGTAAAGATGATGAAAGCTCTCATATCACGACAAGGGTTGCTGGCATGCATGGGTTTCTAGCACCCGAGTACACATTGTACGGACGTCTAACTGAGAAGTAGGGGTGGCTATACGGTTTGGTCCGGTTAAATTGGTCCAAATTGATCCGGTCCAGTCCGGTCTTTTTGAAAATATAAGGACCAAAGATTGGATTGGATACAGTCTGGTCTTGATCCGGTCCGGTCTTGACCCGGTCTGATCTCAATTCGGTCTTGATTTTATATTGAGATTGTGGGGATTTAAGTGGCCTAAGGCCTGAAAGGGTGAGGAGTTGGTTAAGTTTTGTACTAAGTGCAAAGGTTTGTGACCGTTTATGCAAATTACCCTTAAGTTTTGGGTGTTGAGCTCTCTTATCCGGTCTTTATCCAGTTTTCGATCCGGTCCCGAACGATTTTTTTTACCTCAAATCTAAGCCCAAAGATTAGATTGGATTGTTTACTATCTGGTCCCAGTCCGGTCCCGGTCCGGGTTATACGGTCCGATTTCGGGTAAAACCAAAAAACCCGGACCAAATAGCCAGCCCTACCGAGAAGAGCGATGTTTACAGCTTTGGGGTTCTCGTTCTCGAGATCATGACAGCAAGAAAGGTGTTGGACAAGTCAGGCTCGAACTCGAGCAGCTCATCGCCATCGTCTGTTGTTTTGATCACGGATTGGGCGTGGAATCTAGTGAAATCAGGCAGTGTGGATCAGGTTTTGGACGATACGATGACGGATGCTGGGAACAAGCACAGTAAAGGAGAGATGAGGAGGTTCGTTCTTGTGGGGATTCTTTGTGCTCACATTGTTGCTGCTCACAGGCCAACCATGTGCGAGGCTCTGAGAATGCTGGAAGGTGATATTGAGGTTCCCAACTCGTGCTTCAAAACGGCTTCTAGAAAACCCCTCGTTCTGACCCCTAAGAGAGGGGGGAGAGAGGAAGATGAATGAAGGAAGCGAGATGGTGGGTGGGTCATGGAGGTTACTTAGATTTATTTTAGGCTTAATACACTTGCATAGCCACAAATATGCACTTTGTGACAATAATAGCCAGATTTTGAAAAATACACAGATATAGCCATTCCGTCTATAACTTTAACGGAATAGTAATAAATGCTTACTGGACTAACTTTTTTGTACTTACGTGGCAATTTTCATAGAAGACTATAACCAGGTGGAAATAGTTTCTCATTATAATAATTAATTATATGAAAAAAACTAAAAAAAGTGAAAATTAAAAAGGGGATAAAAATCATTCGCTCTCACTTTACTCTTTCTCATCTCCTCCGACTCATTCCTTCTGAGAATGTACCGCTACTCCGGCGTGGCCGGGGGTGGCGCCACCAGCTCCGCCTCTAAACCAACCTACTCATGAAATCAATTGCCACAATCGCCGTCTCGCCGTCTCCCAGACCTCTCACCCCACCCCTTACATCTCTCTTTCTCACCCTCCCTGTTCCTTTCTTGCCTCTATGAACGATCACACACAAATCTTCACTGCAGCGACGCCGCCGCTGCCCAATACTCTTGCTGCACCGCTCGAGCTTCGATTAACAAGTCGGAGAAGAAGGATAAGAGTGGTGGTGGTCTGGAGCTGAAGAAGGTCGTCGATTTGTAGACGGAGACCATTCGAATCTCACCGCCGATGTAGCAGAGGAAGTTTTCCTCCCACCCCGCCTCTCCCGAGACCCCATTCACTGACCGCAAACACAAAGTAGAGACCGCTTTGGAATCCGACCACTGCTCGACCATCGTCCCTCCTTCAGCCGAGATTTATTACTCGAGACCAGTTCCGGGATGGATTACCTCGTGCCCTCGTCAATCTCCATTCTCACTTTCTTCTACGCTAACGACCTCCCCGTGGATGCTTCTTCATTGGACGGACGAGGTAGAACGATGGCGACAATCGACTACTGGGGAATAGCGATTTGGGTTTATGATTTGGTGGCCATGTGATTTGGCTTATCGCTTCCTCGACGGATGACGGGTTCGATGGTGAGAAACGAAACGGATTTGTCAAATCAAGAAGAAGAAGGGCGCTGTTGTGGAGGGTTTTGGGAGATTCAGTTGGGAAGAAGAAGAAGAAGAAGTAGGGGTGGCTGGATTTCAGATCCAGGGAGATGACGGAGGTAAGCTACAGAATATGGGCAATTTTTTTTTTTTGTGGTTAACACAATATGGGTAATTAGGGGAACTAATAAATCATGCAATAAATTTTGTTTCCCTCAAGAGTGGCGGAATGGTGGAATCCACATCAGCAATGACGGGGAAAACGAGTCTATTTGGCTATGACATATTGTCCAGGTGGAGTCCACGTCAATGCCATGTACACATTACTGACGACATTTTTGACGCCGTCAAAGTTTGTAACGGAAATGGCTAGATTTGACAATAGAGTTTCAAAAGTGTGGCTATATTTGTGTATTTTTCAAAATTTGGCTATTATTGTCATAAAACGAATAGGTATTTGGCTTTATTTTATGGAAACTAAGTTTTTAATAGATACATGTAAGATAAATTTAATTTCAGTCATTAAATCTTTAATTATGGCTAAATTACATGTTTGGTCACTCAAATTACATAAATCTTTCACGTTTGCCACCTGAATTACTTTTCTTTCATATTAGACACTAACTTTATGATTCGTTTCACCGTTAGTCACCGGCCGTCAAACTCCGTTAACGACGTCAAATTTTTAATGATGTGGAAAATGGGAGTCCTGACTGGGCAGACAGTGAGGCTGAAATAGATATCCAGTCAGCAACTGAGAATTGTTCCACACGTCCTGTCTGGGCCACATCACAACTGAGAATTGGTCCAGCAAATCAGAACAAGGGAAGGGATAAGGGAGAGGGAGGAGGCAGATTGTGGTGCGGCGACGCTCGAGTTATGCTCTGCTCATTCTGTGATGGCGAACAGAGGGGAGCGGGAGCGGGAGATGCTGAGCGGTGCCAGTAGCAAACAGAGGGGAGCGAGAGATTCTAAAATGGAGGTGTGTCACGACGGGGGGAGAATACATGGGTCGGATGGAATGTAGCTCTGGCGACGGAGTCAGTGCGACAACGAGGATGAGGAGGGGATGGCTTGGTAATTGGCTTTTCTTGTTGTAGTTATTTTTAGATCTGGATTGAGGGTTAGGGTTTGGGATTTGGTGGGGTTTGTGATGGGGGGATTTAGAAGTGGTTTTGTTTTTAGGCGGAAGTTAATTGTGATCTAAAACTTGAAGGGTTTTGATTTTGGTAGGTGTGTAAGTGGAAGTGGAATTAAGTTGCTTCTTGTCCTTATTCTTATGGAATTGGTGTGCTGGAGGACTCAAATGGTGAAGAAATGGACAAACGAGGATTGCGTAGGAGGAGGTAGAAGGCGGCAACAGTAGTGGAGGGAGGAGGAGAGGTATTGCAACAGGTGAAGTCCGAGCACGGATCTGGTTACGGTCGCCGGACTGAATCAGAAGATGGTGCGAGGAAATAGAAGAGAGGTTGCGGTGGATTTTTCGGAGAAGTACTCATATTTGCCACGTCTTTAAAAATTTGACGGCGTTAACGGAGTCTGACAGAGATTGACGACCGGTGACTAACGATGAAATGAATTATAAAGTTAGTGACTAATATGAAAGAAAAGTAATTCAGATGGCAAACGTGAAAGATTTATGCAATTTGAGTGACCAAACTTGTAATTTAGCCCTTTAATTACTATATTATTTGTATATATATATTTAGAAAATGCTAAATTACACGTTTGGTCACTCAAATTGCACAAATCTTTCACGTTTGCCACCCGAATTACTTTTCTTTCTTATTCACCACTAACTTTAAGAATTGTTTCACCATTAGTCACCGACCATTATACTCCGTTAAATTTGTCCTACGTGGCAGTCAACTATAAAATTTGACAATTAACTAGATGAGGTGGAAATTATAAATAATTAAATTATCAAATTATTTTTACACCTCGTCATTCCTTACCAAGCACCACCGCTGATCTGCTCAAGCTTCTTCCTCAGGCACCTTGCATGAACTCGACCCCGCGACCGTGAAACAGGGTCGAAATTCTTCTCCAATCTACAGGATGAAACACCGGCGGCGACCGCACCGTGAAATTAAAACCTGAATCCCCAGCGTCCACCACCCTCTCCACGACCCTCGAACCCAAATACATATTGTTATTATGCCCCCACTTCTTCTCGTCGAACGTCCTCACGAACTCCATGATGAACCGACAAACGAGCAACGACTGATCTAGGGGGGCCACCCCCGGGCCATGACCCAGCCCTCCCCATATCCAGAGCTAGTATACCACTTGAAATTGTCAATTTTAGGTATACATTTGATTTCTTATTGGGGTTACGATCCAGCCCTCTCAGCCTCTTTTCAAATGTGGTCCAGTGCTCTTCCCTATCCTAGATCCGCCGTTGTAAACGAGCGGGTAATTTCGGTCGAAAAATAAGAAAGCTCTGTTCAGCCGGCTCCACTTCCCTGTCCCGGCATCGAATGTCTGTGCGCCGATGAAATTCCTTAGCCCGGCGAGGCTCCGCAGGACCACGACGTCGGTGTTGAGGTAGATCCCGCTGAACTTGTAGAGCAGGGCGAAGCGGAGCAAATTGGAGAGGATGAATCTACGATTAGGCATCCCGGTCCCAATGTGTCATCTGTCTGGGATGGCCCAATACCGATGCCCCTCTCCCTTTTCCATCAGTCCTCTAGCGATTTTGTTTCGCTCCAAACATCTCTTTGTCTACTTTTTTTGCGCCGATTGAATTCAGCGCCCGACACTAATAAATCGCAAAAATTTCCCCATTGGCTCGTGTTGGAGTCTGGGAAACAACCCACCATTAAACCAGCAAACCCATAGTTAAAGAGATGGAAAAGGGATCTTTTCCTTGATGTATCAGAGATTCGGGATTGAAAGAATTTCACAAAGCCACACAGAGCAAACTCAGTCTTCGAGGAATAAGTTTTGACGTCTCTGCTTTACATTCCCCTCGTAATCTCCATTGAGAGTAACACTCTACCCGGAATCGAATATTTAATCAATATGAAGTCTATTACAGTCAACGACAAGAGAGTTTCTTTCAAAAAGGACAGAGTTGGGTTAGCCAAACTGAGCACAACAGTGTCGTACTCTCTCATGGATGCCTCCGTATACAGAGCATTCGCAGAAGCTTACTTGAAGGCCGCAACGGCGAGCAACACGAAGAGAGCGAAACCCATATCTCCATTTTCTCATTGCTTCATACCATCTGCGAATTATCCGGTCCCCGTCGATCTAGCACTGCAGAGTGAGATGGTGAAGTGGAGGATTCAGGGGAGAAATCCAATGATTTCGTTTAAGGAAATCAATGAAGAAGAAGGAGAGGTACTACGTTTGGAAGCTATAGCTGTATTAGGAGGCCTTCAGATGTACAGAGCAACCGATGAGAGGAAAAATGGCAGAGAAGGGGAATGAAAATGGACTATGTGAATTGGGTGACTCACTATATAACTCAGCAGTTATGTTGAGTTGGAATGTGCAGGTGGATTGAAAAAATGCAAATTGGTACCCACTGTTAATTTTAGTGACGGAAAATGTAACGATACAATTAAAAATTGAGTTATGTGATTTAGTTGCAACTAAAAATATTTAAGTGATCAATATTCAACAAAAGCAAAACTTATATGGTATGTGGTGCATTTAACCCTTATGTCGGCAACAATTGCCAATCAATACAACCGGGTTCAACCGCAGGTTACAAAACCGGTTGGAATGTTTCTAGCATTGGCCGACATGATCGATTTTCAATATTTAAATAAAATGATGACATTTTGGTGAATTTAATTAAAAAATAAATTTTGATTGTTTTCTTAGACTTGAAAGTTAAATGTGATGTTATTTGTTGGCTATAAACTTTAGATGTTGGCGTTAAATTTTGTATTTAAATATAAGAATGTTTTTATTTTGTTTGTAATATTGAATTTTATTTAAATATGAATTTAGATTTTAGAGAAATTGTTTTGAAATTGTTATATATATACATGCTTACATTTAGTTAGTGTTAGTGATTTCCGACGTCCCTACATGCTATGCTAAAACCGACATGAACTGGTATAAATCGGTTGTACCACTAGTCGGACCATACCACTCGTCAAATCGGCATAACGGTATAAACCGGTTCTTGTAAACATTTATCTAAGCTTGTCAGCATCGACACATGGGTTAAACCGAATTGACCCAAACGCGGTGAGGAAAACGAGTCTCATACACCCGCAGGTCAAACCGCAGCAAGGTTCCCGCACTCGAGTTCACACGACATCGTTTTTTCCCTTTGTTTTGTGAACTACGCCTCTTTTTGGGTTTTCCTGTCGCCTAATCCTACCTTTAGAATTCTAAGTTGAAAAGTTGAATATTATATCGAGTATCATTGATATTATATGGGTGTGTTTGAATTTTTGTTATATGTTGGATTCAAATACGAACTCTATTTTGGTATAATGTTATATAATACTACATCATTCTTATGAGATTGATATTATTTATAAATGTATTACCATTATAATAACTTTTTGGACTTTGCTACGTGACATGCATGTCACCGTAACTTGCACTTTTAGGTCGACCTCATATAGGATTAGGTGGACCTAATCTGCACTTTTAGGTCGACCTAATATGTCGTTTCAGTTTTGTGAGGTTCAACGACGCGGTTGACCTTTTATAGCAAATGGTCGACCTCTTTGGGAAGCGAACAAAATGAAAGGTTGACTCAAATACCTCATAGGCCGACCATTTTGATTAACTGAGGTCGACCGCGTGCACACCGTATCCGTATTGGATAAGGATTCCAACACCACAAAGGTAACCCTAACTTATCTACCACTTAATTCGACCCATTCTCGTCCTAAATATCTATAAATACGAAGATATATCACCTTCACCGCCACCGAAACTCTGAATTAGGTTTTTTTTACGGTTAGAGCTTTTGTGAAGAAGGTCCTTTACGGTTGCTGTTGTACGTGATTCAAGAGGTCGACCACGTGGAAGTTATGAGTCCTTGTTATCATTATTTATGACTAATTCTGTTGGTTTGAAACTTAATTTGTACGGGCACTTGATCTTCATTTTACGTCAAATGATGATAGATAAATGGATACAACACTTCTCTTCTATCTGGTCGACCTCTTTCTGTAAATGGTCGACCATTTTGTTAATGACCGTCATCAAGTGGTCGACCTATATACCTTTACGGTCGGCCATTTTGTTTCTGTCGCCAATGAAAAGGGCGATCAATGTTTTATTGTGGTCGACCAACAATGATAACTTAAACTACAAACGGTCGACCACTACATTTTAAAGGTCGACCGTGATAAGTCATCAGGGTGCCCACATTAAGTATCTTCGGGAACCTCACAAAACTGAAACGACATATTAGGTCGACCTATTCCTATATAATATCGACCTAAAAATGCAGATTAGCTCGACCTAATCTTATATGAAATCGACCTAAAAGTGCAAGTTACGGTGACATGCATGTCACAATAGACATACCTAACTTTTTCCATATATCTAGACTATACGGAGCTAAAGCGATTGGGAAATTAACCCTCAACCCAATGCCCAAGACTTGTTTACTTTAATTTCATTATTCACATGATTTTTTTTATGTTTTCCATTCGTTGGTCTTGTTTGACAACCTTACAATTACCACAAATTATAGGGATGACAGGCTAAGGCCCGTTTTCGGGTATCCGCCCGAAGCCCGCCCACCATGGGCCTATTTCACCCGAACATTGAGGCCCATTAACGGATGGCGGGTAACCCGCAGTCCGTCAAATGCTGGTCGCGGATGGGGCCGGATCCAAACATATCCGCCCCGAGGCCCCCGACGGATTACCCGTGCACAAAACGACGTCGTTTTGGCATGCATATATAAACGACTTCTAACACAGCGGCCGCCGCTTGATGACTCATTCTCCCGAAACTCTAATCCTCTCTCTCATTCTCTCTCTAACGAATGACGATCATCAGGCATGCTGTTCGCTCGATCAACGCGCGATTCCGCCGATTTTTTGCCATTTCCCAATCAAAGCTTCACCTAGAATATCGAATCGATAATCTCTCGTCTTCAATTCCTCCAATCATATGGCCGAAAGAGCAATCATTCGTCGGCGATTTCGTCGATCAAAACACTCAAAGGAGGCGTTTGGAGTTCTACCGTCTATCGATCACAGATAAGGAACAACAAGCTTTCCTTTTCCTTATCCTTGCTTTCATTTTTGTTTTCCTTTTCTTTCTAAAGTAGAAGTCGAACTGACTTTGCATTCTTCCCGTTTTCTACTTCTATATATAGGAAACTTCTGAGCGAGTCTTTCTATCTCATCGTCTAGCCATCTCCTCTCGTTCTGGGTAGCGAGTTCTGAATCTTGAATTTTCCAGCGATAGAGAGGCAGAGACCAGGCTTCAGATTCCAGGGTAAGGGTTTCAACTCTACTTATTCAGTGTTGTGTTCTGGATTAGCGGGTTAATACATACATGCATGGCAAATTTTTAACTGTTATTTTGTTTTTTGTTCATGTGTCTATGCAGATGGCAGGTGAACAGAATGTTGAACCTGTTGCTGAAAATGTTGGTGGAATTGTCCAACCTGAACAAGCTGCTGCTGACGCAAATAATCGTGCTAATGGTAATGAGGAAGAACTAGCAGAGCAACCTAGGTTAACGTCTGATGTGTGGCCGCACTTCACTAGGGTGAGGATTAATGGGGTAATGAAGGCAAGGTGTAAGTACTGCCAGAAAGCACTTGGTGGGGAAACAGGCAATGAAACTTCGCATTTGAGGAACCATCTCAAATCATGTATCCAGAAAAGGATACATGATGGTTCTCAGAAAATTCTTGGCCCCAACTATCGATCTACTGGTAATGCCCAACTCTCTGCTTCTTAGTACAATTCTGATGCGTGTAGGAAGAAACTCTGTTCCATGATTTTGGTGCATGAATACCCACTTAGTATGGTTGATCACTTAGGGTTCAAACGGTTCTGTTGTTCGTTGCAACCTCAGTTCACAGTTCCATGTAGAAACACTGTGAAAAAGGACATAATATCTTTGTATGGGGTTCAAAGGGGCAAATATCAAAGCATTCTTGATGGTATCTTGGGTAGGATTTCCGTGACAACTGATTTGTGGAATTTGCATCTACTGTGATTGAGAAGCTGGCCATTTTCTCTGGTTCCAAGTATCCTACTGCCAATCTTTTTTCCCCAAAGATTTGTGATCTTAGACTGAAACTGATTGAGTGGGGTAATGATCCCAATCCTGTGATTTTTGGGATGGCCAGTAACATGTCCATGAAGTTTGCTAAGTACTGGGATGATATCCACCTTGTTCTTGCTGTCTCAGTTGTTTTGGATCCAAGGTATAAGCTACATGTTATTAAGTACTATGCTGCAAAGTTTGGCAATAATGATATTGATTTGGTGGCTGAGAATATCAAGCAAATTATCTGTGGTTTGATACTTGATTATCAAACCAAAGCTGAGAAAAAATCTAGTTCTGGAACTGGAACCTCTGTTGGTTCTGCATCTTTCTCTGCCACCGAGCTTGCCTTTGAGTTGTTTGTAAGTCAAAGAAAAAAGAGTAAGAGTACTTTGATTACCACTGAGTTGGACCACTATCTTGCTGAGGATATTATTCCACGGACAGCAGAGTTTGATCTTCTGTTGTGGTGGAAATTGAATGGGCTTAAGTATCCCACCTTGCAAGCAATTGCAGGGGACTTTTTGGCAATCCCAGTCACCTCTATGGCTTCTGAGAGTGCTTTTAGTTCTGGTGGGAGGTTGATAGACCCTCACTGGAGCAGACTGCATTATTCAACTGTGGAAGCAATGATGTGCACACGAAGTTGGATAATGGAAGACATGGAACGAGGTAAACTGCAACTATACCTCTCGATTGATTACAACTGTATTTACTTAAATGTTAACCTTATCCTCTTGTTTGTACAGATTATGAGGCTGCTGTGGAGGCATTGGAGGGAGTATTCTCTTCGATGTCCATAGAAGATAACTTTTTTGAAGAGGCAGAACCTGGGGGTAAGACACTAAGACTTTCTCTTAATCTTTCATGGTTCTGACTTTGTTCATTCGAGCATAATGACTAATGTATTTTGCTTTCCTTTTCCTTTTCCAGGTCCAGGAATGGTGTTCATGAGATCACCATTTGGCCATGAAAGACTGATTACTGGATATTTCTTTGTTGTGGAGCCAAGGTATAAACTTCGATAAGTTATCTTCTAACATTAATACATTATGAGCTTTTGGAGACTTGCTGGCTATAAACTCATGTTTATACTTCAACTCAAGTTCTTAGTTCTTAGCTATGAACTCATTTTGCTTGTTGACTTGTTTCTGCAGACTTGCTGGCTGCTGCTTGTTGATCTGGACGACTGACTTTTTGAAGGATGAAAGCTCACTGTTGGCTGCTAGTGGAAATTTGGAATGTTGCTGCTGTTGGACTCAGTAGTTGATAGGGGTTACTGTTGCTTTTGGTTTGCATTTTGGACAACATTCTAGTTTCATTTTTCTTGATTTTGGATTCTAGTTGCTGCATTTCGACACTCATGTTGCTGCTTGGAATGGATTATGTTTGGTTGATTTCGTTTAGTTGTTGTGCTTGCTATTGCTGAGCTGCTGGCAACAACAATGCAGTATGGTTTTGTTCATTTGAAACTATGAAACATGAATGAAGTTTGAAGTTTGTTTTCAATTTTGAAGTTTTATCAGAAATTCTGTTTTTTAGCATTGTGTATCGGGTATTAACAATCCGCGGGCACCCGGAAAACCACCCAATGACAGGGACGGTATCCAACTCTGACCCGTTACACTGGCGGGGACGGGCACGGGTAAACCCGCCTATTTTAGCGGGCGGGCATCGGATAGTGGCTACCCGCCCCCGATCCGCCCCGATCCATCCCAACAAATTAACATTCATAAAAAAAATTACCACAAATTAATTAATTTAAAAAGTTAAATCCTAATATTCATCGTGCTGGCCAAGGCATCATAAAACAATAAGAATACTTTCTACCAAATGAAAACATTTAGAATACCACCCATCCAAACCCTAAGGAACTTTCTCACATACTGCGGCCGCGCGCCGTCTCATCTTTCAGACGCCGCCGGTAATTCTCGAGGCCCTGCTCTGCGTCGGAAGCCATTTGCGTCTCTGCCTGAGGAAGGTTATTCTATTTCTTTTCACCGTCGCTCTACTCTCTCAACAATCAGCATGTCGTCGTCGGAGCCCCAGAACCCACCGCCGGAACAAGGCGAGGAGGAAGACGCCAAGGCTACAAGCAAGAAGGCGGCGAAGAAGGAGGCTGCGAAGCAGGAGAAGCTGCGTCGGAAAGCGGAGGCAGCTGCCTTGGCAAAGGCGGCTTCCTCTCTCGCCGTCGAGGAAGAGGATCCCCTCGCCGGGAACTACGGCGATGTACCGCTGAACAAGCAGCAATCGAGAGAGGAACTCGATCTCAGTGCGTGGACGAAGGTGAGGGAGCTGAATGCGGAATTGAAGGATAAGGAGATCCTGATTAGAGGCCGAGCTCAAACTGTGCGCCCCGTCAGCAAGAACATGGCGTTCGTTGTGGTTAGAGAGAGTGGGTTTACGGTTCAGTGCGTCGTCACTGTTCAGCCTGAGATTGTGAGCCGTCAGATGGTGAAGTTCATCTCAGGTTTGACTAGTGAGTCAATCGTTGAAGTTCAGGGGATCGTCTCAGTGCCCAATGTTGCTATCAAGGGAGCTACCCAGCAGGTCTTGCCTTCTCTCTTTTTTCCATTCATAATCCAGATTTTTCTCGTAATGCTTGTTGTTGCAACCCTTCAATTGCTTGGAGTTTTAGGCATTGTGAAGAGTCGAAATGCCAGCCAACCATTAGTGTTAACCCTAAACATAATTAATGTTTCCGTTGAAAATGGAGTCTGAACCAGAAGTTATAGGTATAAGCAAGTTTCTGGTTATAAGTTAAATAGATCCTCTATTCAACTTAAGGGGGACTACTGTCATGCAGATTTTGGAAATAGAGGCTGGACAAATTTTCATGCGCCCGTAGATATCTAGTGTGGCATACTTTGGACGTTGGAGGTTTTCGTACCTTGCAATTTTTTTATTGGTCTGATTCTACGTTCCATTACAGGTTGAAGTCCAAGTTAGGAAACTCTATTGTGTTAACAGGGCCCTGCCAACTCTACCAATCACTATTGAGGATGCTTCTAGAAGTGAGAAGGAGATTGAAGAAGCTTCTAAGGTGCAACTACGTTTCTGTCTCTGTCTGTCTGTGCAATCTATAATTTATTGGATGTTGATGTTGCTAACTATGCTTATTAAGGGAGGGGTGTAGTTAGCTGAAATTTGGACAGAGAGAACTAATAATTAAAGGGGAGATTCTGACTGTGTCTTTTGTTACAGGCTGGGGAACAACTTGTCCGCGTTAATCAAGACACGCGCCTGAACAATCGGGTTATCGATTTACGCACACCGGCTGGCCAAGGGATTTTCCAAATTCAAAGTGAAGTTAGCTATGTAAGACCCTTTTACTTCAAACTGTTTCTTTTTTATGTGGTAACTTAATCAAGTATGCTAGATTGGATTTGAGAGCTACTGGGAAGTTGCACTCCTAGTTTCTGCCAATTCATTAGTCAGGATTAAGCTTTAGATTTGCTTTCTTAGGTTATAGGAATGTATGAAGCACTGCCATTAAATGCACTGTCAATTATCTCTCGCCAGTTGATGTTGTTGGAAGGGACAATGCGAGGTCCTTCAGAGCCCATGCTTAAGTGTGGGCTGTTTCATGATTCTTACATTGCCTTCCTAAGCTTGACCCTCTTGACATTCTAAGTTTAGCTCCATTTGGAACTACTTAGTTATTGTTGATGAAGTCATCGTTTGTTGATTCATAGATATTCATCTTTCTGCGGTAGACAGCTGAATCGACCCGCTCTTTGGTATTTGAAATGCTTTAATGAGAATATATTGGCGGAATTTTGAGCCTAACAGTCTAATCTTTTTCTAAATTAATATCCATCTATAGGTGTTCAGGGAATTTCTTCATACAGAGGGATTTGTAGAGATCCATACTCCAAAGCTGATAGCAGGTAGCAGTGAGGGGGGTGCTGCTGTCTTCAGGCTGGATTACAAGGGGCAACCTGCCTGCTTAGCACAATCACCTCAGCTTCACAAACAAATGGCCATTGCTGGAGATTTTGGACGAGTGTTTGAGGTTGGTCCAGTTTTCAGGGCAGAAGACTCGTATACTCACCGGCACTTGTGTGAGTTTACTGGTCTTGATGTGGAAATGGAGATAAAGAGTCACTATTCTGAGGTAGGATTTTCTTCTTGATGTGACGTGAGAAACCAAGTTGATTACTATGTTAGGTGTTGCTGTGAGTTGAACAAAATTGTTGATGCAGGTAATGGATGTTGTGGACAAGCTATTTGTCACTATGTTTGACAGATTGAATGAACAGAAGTGCAAGCCGTACCTTGAAGCTGTAGCTAAGCAGCATCCATTCGAGCCATTGAAGGTGGTTATCATATTCCCTTTTGTGGATGGTTGAGTTCTTCACTAGACATCATAGTTAGTCTTTGGATCATGGATACTGATTTTTTGCATTTTGTGGATGTGTTCAGTACTTGCGGAAGACATTGCGCCTAAAATTTGAAGAAGGCATTCAGATGTTGAAAGTAAGGAAATCATTCAGTATTGTGCGTCTATATGTATGAAAGGTCTATATGTATGAAAGACAGTCCATACTTCCTCATCATTTGGCATGGAAACGAATTATAAATCAATGAGCTTTTTCTGTTTATCTTGAATTTCTGTGAATTGATACAAGTAGCAGAAACAACTTTATTGATTACTAGTAGACTTAGTGTGGGATCTGACCTTTTCCAAGCATAAATGTACTGTTGCATAGTCAGCTTACTATTACATTCGCAATTAAGTACTGCAACTTGGTTTTCTATATATGTTTTTCTCCAGTAATTTCGTATATGTTAATACCTTGCAGGATGCTGGAGAGGTAGTGGACCCCTACGGTGACCTGAATACAGAAGCAGAAAGAAAGCTGGGCAACCTTGTATTGAAGAAGTACTGACATATTAGAGATTGTTGCCAGACAGTTGCTTTAGTTGTATACTAATCGCTTTTTGCTGATTATTTTTGTGGGTACTTTTGCTTTGTAGATACGGCACTGAGTTCTATATTCTCTACCGCTATCCATTGGCTGTCAGGCCATTCTACACAATGCCATGCCATGATGATACAAAGTACAGCAATTCTTTTGATGTCTTCATTCGAGGTAAAATCTTTTAGCGTTTTGTCACATTCTCTTTTGGGAATTTCACTATTGACTAGAGAAAGTGGGTTCAGTACAGAAGGACTTAATTGTTAACCGAAAATGTGTGCTTTTTGTTTGTTTGTATGGATTGCAACTTGTGTCTTATTTGGTCAATTCTACATACACATCAGGGGAGGAGATCATTTCAGGAGCTCAGCGTGTTCATGTGCCTGATCTACTGGAAGAACGTGCCAAGGCATGTGGTATTGATGTCAGCACAATCTCAACTTACATAGATGCTTTCAGGTACATTCTGCTATCCCAATTGATTAAATCACAGCCTGTGGAAGTGCTGTAGCTTAAGTGAAGCTCATCTACTTTGTCATAGTTCATAGTCCATAGTTCATAGGCATTGCAGTTGCAGTTTGGGTTGTGTCTTGTGTGTGTATATCCTATATGGGACGCACTTGCTTTGCTTAAAGAAGGAACACTTGCATTCAGTTGTGGAAGTGCTATGGTATCAAGTTTTGTTTTCGGTAAACGAAGATGCCTTCTCTTAATCTGTTGCCTTAATGAATCCCTTTTTTTTCCAACAGATATGGGATGCCCCTACATGGTGGTTTCGGAGTGGGATTGGAGCGCGTGGTGATGCTCTTCTGTGGTCTAAAAAATATTCGAATGACATCGATGTTCCCTCGTGACCCTCGTAGGATCGCCCCATGATCATTGCCAGATTCCAGTTCAAGGCCTCGGTTTCTCGTCTCCTTCACTTTTACTCGAAATAATATCTGGATGTTTTAGACTGATAGCATAATTTGAAGTTGTTGTTTGCCTCTTTCTAAGACAAGCTATTGTCCAAGATTTCATGTTTGGGCCAACTGATTACTGCACTTGTCGAGTGGAACTACAACACTTGGGATTTGCGTAGTTGTTGGTTTGTTTGTTTAGAAATATACTCCTTTTGTTGACCGTCGACAGCCCTCCTCCCTCTTTTCTTCTCCTTTCTCCGGTTCCCCTGCTTTTGTTGATTTCTATTTTCTAGTGCCCCTGGCTTGGAGCCCACTTTTCTTTGTAGGCTTCGTTACACTTAGAGGTGGAAAATGGATCGATCCATGGATTCGTGGATTGGATTAGTGGATTCATGGATCAAATAGGTGAGATCCAATGGATTGGTGGATTCATGGATTGGATCAAGTGGATTGGTGGATTATCTATGAATCTAAATGACATCCTCAACCTTGGACCAATATGTAAAATGTGAAAAGTTTAGGTACTAAAAAATGTCGTAATGAAAAATTTTAGGTACCAAAACATAAAATATAAAAAGTGTAGGTACCAAACCGTAATTTATCATTTGGATCCATGGATTGATCCATGAATCCACCAATTCAATTGGATTTGGATTAAATGGATTGGATTTAAATGGATTGGATTAGGTGGATATTTTTAATGGATTGGTGGATTGGATTGAGAATTGCCACTTCTAGTTACTCTCAACGAGGGCTCGAGTAACCAATTTCAAAAGAAGGGCGAGGATCACGCGTAAAAAAAAAAAAATGTTCCGAGATGCTCTGTTCTCTCTCTTCCTGCTCTGTTTGTTAGTCGGTCGGTGGCTAGTTAGGGCCGCCGCCGCTGCAATCGCGGTGGGCGTGCGCAATCAGTCCAAGGAAAGCTGGCTCCGGAGCCTGGCTTCCTCCCTTCGTAGTGATTCTCCCGAGAAGGGTAAAGGAATTGCCCTCCCCATCATCAAGCTTGAATCTAATCGATTGGTGAGATGGCCGGCGAGATCCGGTTGGATTAGCGGCCGGAGAGGCGAAGCAAGACAGCAGCCAAATAAACGATCGTGGCTGTGTGCGTTTGAGGTACCTGAATTCGCGATTGAGCGCTTATCCAAGAGAAACAAGCAGGGGTCACGAAAGCCCCTGGCGTTTTTGGCTTCCTCCATCGTCAGACTTTGAAGAGGAAGAACCAGACCCCTTCCCGTTCGCGGGCGTTTCTGCTCCGATTGTTGTCCATATTTCTTTCCAGATTAGGCGATGTGATCAGGAGCAGCAAGTTAACCCCTTAGGGGATGGGATTTGTCCCAAAACACCGATTGATGTAGAATTTGTTGATCGGCAATTTTATGGCAAAGGCGAATCCAGTGAGGATAGCCGAATAAGTGAAAATGCTGTTTTCCATTCTGTGGCTGGGGACGCTGTTACCCCTTCTGCCCAGAAGCAGCTATTGCGGAAATTTTTGTCCAGAATTCCCAGGCAGTCCGATGAGAGGTTACGCGGCGGTGCTGATGGTTCGGGTGATCGGAGGATCCTGGGAGAATTGCGAGATGTGCGGGTGATTGGGAATCCTCTCCGGCCCGACTCTCTGTTTCGGTTGGGCGAGATTCGCGGAGGATTCCTTCGGATACAGAATCCGAATACTTCCCTGGAAAATCGCTCGCTTCCCCGCCAAGGGAGACTTCCTTCTCCTAATCAAACTCTCCTTTCTATTCAGGGCAGCGGAGCACGCCTCTTAGGAGGATTATCGAGGTTTAAACCTTATAAATTGAAGCTTCCGGTGCCTTGCCTGCTATCTGAAACTTCCAGGCAGCCCCAAATTTCTGCAGTGCCGAGAGGAGAGTTTTGGTGGCAGTTCACGGCCCTTGAGACTCCGGTCCTGTCCTCCATTACTCCCGGCAAGTTGCACACGGCGCTGGGTTCTTTGGCAGGTAAATTAGAAGTTACTTCCCTGCTATATCCTTCTTCCGTCCCACATCAGCCATCGGTGCTTTCGAGTGCGATAGAGACCCCGGTGGGTTTGTCTTTTGATGGGCTGCTACATCCGCCCCCGCCCTATCCCCCTGCCTCGGCAGCGGGTGTTTTTCCTTGTCAGGCGGATTATTTGCTGAGTTCTACTGTCCCAATTCAAAAATCGGACATTGTCTATGATTCTTATAACCCTTCTCTGCCTCCTTGTCAGGTGAATATCATGTCACGAATAGCGGAAGATCAGGTGGTGGAATTCAAGCTTGATGAGGTTCAGTCGGTGAAATTCCGCACTGCGCGGACGCTCTTGGGAAGACTATTCTCGGAGAACAGTTTCACGACTGCAGAGTTAAGGGAGGGTCTCATTGATGCTTGGCGAGTGAAAGGAAACCTTCGGGTTACGCTTACTAAATTTGGGCTGTTTGAGGTGCTGCTTCCTAATGAGGAGACAAGGGTCTCGATCCTGAAAAAATCACCATGGATTGTCAAAGATAGGATTTTCCATCTGCGATCCTGGATCCCATCTAGGGGTGGCTATACGGTCCGGTCCGGTTAAATTGGCCCAAATTGATCCGGTCCAGTCCGGTTTTTTTTAGAATATAAGGACCGAAGATTGGATTGGATACAGTCCGGTCTTGACCCGGTCCGGTCCCAATTCGGTCTTGATTTTATATTGAGATTGTGGGAATTTGAGTGGCCTAAGGCCTAAAAGGGTGAGGAGTTGGTTAAGTTTTGTACTAAGTGTAAAGGTTTGTGACCGTTTATGCAAATTACCCTTAAGTTTTGGGTGTTGAGCTCTCTTATCCGGTCTTTATCCGGTTTTTTACCTCAAATCTAAGCCCAAAGATTGGATTGGATTGTTTACTATCCGGTCCCGGTCCGGTCTCGGTCCGGGTTATACGGTCCGGTTTCCGGTTTTTTATCCGGTCCCGGTCCAAATAGCCAGCCCTAATCCCATCCATCTCCAAAGTTCATTTTGATGAACTGCTATTGCTCCCTTCCGGGTGCAGCTCTGGAATGTCAGAGATGAATGTTGCACTAGACAGTTTGGCCGGAAGGTCGCCACTGGAACTGTTGGCCAGATCTTGGAGGCAGATGTTTTTGCGGCGAGAGATACGGAGGAGCGCTTTGTTAAGGTGCTTGCTCTCATTAACTTTACAAAACCTCTGCGCTCTCAGCTCATGGCGGTTAGTGAGGAGCTTGGTCATTTCTGGGTAAATCTCAAGTATGAGTTTTTACCGACTATTTGCTTCCATTGTGGCCGAGTGGGGCACTCAAAGCGTGACTGTGTGTTCGACCCACCCTCGGGTAAGGAACGATTCGGCCCTCACATGTCAACAAAGAAATTGGGAAGGAATCTATTCCTAGAAGAGGAAGACTGCACTAATTATCGAAATACCAGTAAATCTGTGTGGGTGAACAGGAACGTGCAAGGGTACAATGGAGGGAACGCTAAAAATCCTCGAGGGCGAATGCAGGACATTCCTATAGGGCATGCTGACCGATCTCAGGTTCATGGTCTGGCCCCCTCTGTGACTGATGAAGTGGCAACTCAAGCTAGCATGAAGGCACAGCCTAGGGCACGTGACCCAATTAATAAAGTGGGTGGGGGTCGTGCTAGTCCCCAGCAGTTTGTGTTCAAGACATCCCCGCGGGTGAAGGTTGGTGGTGTGGTGAGGCAAGCCCAGAAAAAGCAGTCCCCCAGAAAGGGTGCTGCTCTTACTCGGCAGGAGGCCAAGGATCGTCATCAGCTAGCTAGGCGAGCAAAACAGGCTTCTCAACGCCAGAAGAAAGCGGATCAGATGGTGGAGGTCCTTGAGCACTCTCGGAGGCGTCGATTGATCTTGCAAAATGAATCGGAAGATGAAGAACTGGCGGAGACTAAAGGGGCGGCTCCCCTTTCACTGAAGGAATCCTCCAAGATTCGGGTTCGCCCACGGCTGAGGAAAATGGGTGAGAGTCAGCCGGTGGCAGTAGCCAAACAGGTCGCGAGCCCTGCGGCTCTGCATGGGCTGGAAGATGAGGAGGTTGCGATTCCGCTGGCGGATCCGGTTGAGGCGCATCAACAAGAGGATTCTGATTCTGATGGAGACCCTTCGATGGGAGCCTTTGAAATTAAACGACGGTCCCCAGATGGGGTCTCCTCGAAGGCTTGCCAAAACATGAAAGGGCGAGTCCATCAGGTGGTGAAGGCTTTTGAGGCTGGGCTTGTTTTTGAGCGGGAGGCAGAGGCTCCTTCTGCAAAGTCGGATATGACTCTGGATGAGTATGGGACTAATTTTATGGACCCAATCATGCTGAATCGGAAGCGGGGGTTAGATGCTCTGGAAGGGGATATTGGTGACCCCCCTACCCCGAAGAAACAATTTGTGGAAGCTGCTGATGGTTTGGAAAAGGTGGAGGAAGCCAGCCTAGAATGGCCCCAGGAGGATAAATGAGGCTATTGGCCTGGAATGTGAGAGGAATTGGGCCATCCCTCACCTTCCAAACTGCTTTAGGGCTTGTTTTTTCCAATAAACCGGATCTCGTTTTCTTTTCGGAGACTCGATCGAGCCGGCGTGTAGTGTCCCGTCGTATGCGGGGTTTAGGTTTTGATATTTCGCATTGTTTTTTGGTTGATGCAGTCGATGCATCTGGTGGTTTAGTGTTTGCTTGGTCCCCCGGGGTTGATGCTTCGGTGTTTTTTTATTCCAACTTTTGTATTTGTTCGCAAATTAATGAAGGGGATTTTTCTTATGTGGTGATCTTTGTCTATCTTAGTTGCAATGTTGCACTTCGAGCTTCCCAATTGGCTCAGTTGCAAGGTATTTGTGCGAATATTATTCACCCTTACGTCCTCATTGGTGATTTCAATACAATTCTTAACGCGGGTGAAAAAGATGGGGGAAGGGTTTGGACTGGTACCCAGGCCACCAGCCTTCGGGCTTTTGTTCGTGATTTGGGACTCCATGACCCGGGTTTCCAAGGTGATCAATTCACTTGGACTAACAAACGTATGGGTGCGGATTGTATTCGAGAACGTCTGGATAGGGCTCTTTGCTCCCAATCCTGGATTGATGTCTATCCAGAGACGCTGGTCAAGCACTTTACGGACCAGGGGTCGGATCATCGGGCTCTGCTACTTGCGGATAAACCTTATACTCGAAGTAGTCGACCTCTTTTCCGGTTTGATGCCCGCTGGGCGGATAATCCTGAAGTAAGGGCTATGGTCCAGTATGTCTGGCAGGAGGAAGTCCAAGGTACCCCTATGTTTCGACTGTGGGAGCGTCTGAAGAAACTCCGGCACCTGCTTTATGATTGGAGCAGGGCGGGCACAACTAATTCTCTTCGGAATATAAAGACGCTCCAAGCTGAAATTGATAGGATAAAGTCAGTCCTTCCAGTTGATTGGGATGCGATTAGGATCCACGAGGCGGAGCTCTCTCGTCAGTGGGACGCGGAGGAGGTCTTCTGGCAGCAAAAGTCCAGGGTGAAATGGTTGAAAAAAGGGGATCAAAACTCAGCTTACTTCCATACGGTGACCAGGGCGCGGCGAAAAAGGAACTTTGTTTCCGAACTCCGAAATGAGGAAGGGGAATGGGTCACTGCCGAGACCGGAAAGGCAGCTATAGCCACCAATTTTTATCAGAACCTGTTTACTTCGGAAAACCAGGTTCCCAATATGACTGAGAGGGTGGCAAACCTGCCGATAGCTCATAGTGTAACTCCGCAAATGAACGCGCATTTGACGGCGGATGTTTTACCAAGTGAGGTTCGGAGTACGGTTTTCTCCATGGGATCAAAGCAAGCCCCGGGGTCGGATGGTTTTACAGGGAAATTCTTCAAAGCTTTCTGGGATATTGTGGGCAATTCGGTGGTTGAAGCAGTGATTTCCTTCTTTACCTCGAGTCGGATGCTGCGGAGTTTTAACCATACCTGGCTCACATTGATCCCTAAAGTTGATTCAGTGGAAACAGTTCGTCAATTGCGACCGATCAGCCTCTGTCAGTTTGTTTACAAAGTAATTACGAAAATTATGGCAGAACGGCTTGCTAGCATGCTCCCTCAAATTGTTTCGGAAGGCCAAAATGGTTTTATCAGGGAACGGCAGATTATTGATAACATCCTTATAGGACATGAACTAATGCATTATCTAAAGATAAAAAAGCAAGGAAAGAAGGGGTACATGGCTCTGAAGGTTGACATGGAAAAGGCCTATGATAGAGTCGAATGGCCATTTCTTCTTGCAGTTTTGGAGAAGATGGGTTTTAGTTCAGTCTGGCGAGGGTGGATTCACGAATGTCTTCGTTCCTCCTCTTTCTCGGTCCTGATGAATGGTACTCCCTCGGGTTACTTCACCGCCTCTAGAGGCCTTCGTCAAGGGGATCCGCTTTCTCCGCTCTTGTTTGTGCTCTGCACGGAAGGGTTTGCAACCCTCCTTCGTAAGGCCATTACGGAGAAAAAACTAGAGGGGGTGAAAGTAGCTCCTCGGGCTCCTAGAATTTCGCACTTGTTCTTCGCGGATGACTCCTATTTGTTTTTGCGAGGTTCTCTTCAGGAGTGCGAGAATTTAATTGAGGTGATGAATGATTATGAGGAATTGAGTGGTCAGCGCGTTAACCTGAACAAATCGGCTGTATGCTTTAGTAAGAATATCTCTCTGGCTGATCAGGAGTTTTTGGCTGCGATTTTAGGGGTTGGTGCGGTGGGGGTACATGATAAATATCTGGGTCTTCCTACGCTAATTGCTCGCTCAAAGATGGAGACTTTCAGATATTTGGAGGAAAAACTCCTCGAGCGGTTGCAGGGGTGGAAGCAAAGGACGTTGTCGTGGGCTGCTAAGGAAACTTTGATTAAATCCATAGCTTTGGCTCTTCCTCTTCATGTCATGTCCTGCTTCTGTCTCCCTCTTGCCCTTTGTCGTCTTTTGGATAAACACGTGGCCCGCTTTTGGTGGGGCGCAGAGGAGGGTCATCCCAAGATTAGATGGGTGTCCTGGCGAAACATGTGCAGAAGTAAGCATGAGGGGGGGATGGGATTTCGCCAGTTTGAGCATTTCAATCAAGCCCTTTTGGCGAAGATAGGTTGGCGTGTTCTCAGTGAACCTCAATCTCTTCTGGCCCAGGTTTATAAAGGCAAGTATTTCCCTCAGGGGTCTTTCTTGACGGCCAAAGCGAGATCTCGTCCCTCTTGGGGGTGGCAGAGTATCCTGCATGGGCGTCATTTATTGGAGATGGGTCTGCGCTGGCAGGTGGGGAATGGCAAGTCGGTCTCCCTCCTTCGGTCTAACTGGATTCCGAGGTATCAATTAGATCCCCCATGCTATAACCCTAGGGTCTTGCCTGAGGGGGGTGATCCCTTAGTGACGGAGGTTCTTTGTGAGGGGGGAGGGGAGTGGTCAGATGAGAAGCTTAGTCAATGGTTTGACCCGCCTACCTGTAGAGCGATTAAAGGTATTCCCCTTCCGAGATGGGATGTGCCTGACAAACTTATCTGGCATTTTACAGCAGATGGGGTTTTCTCGGTGAAGTCGGCTTATCATCTGGCTGTGGATTTGGATAGGAGGGGGGAAAGTGGCGGTCCTCGGTAAGCTGGATGGACAAACCGAGTTGGATTAGAGTGTGGGAGGCGAAGATTCCTCCAAAGTTGAAAGTTTTTGTTTGGCAAATTCTAAATCGGGCTCTGCCAACTACTGAGGCGCTTATTGAGAAAAAGGTGCAGGTGTTGCCTCGATGCCCAGTCTGTTGGGATGGCCCAGAGACAATGGAGCATTTGTTTCTTACCTGTCCAGTGGCACGGGCTCTCTGGGATTATTCAGGGCTGAATTACTTGGGTGAGGGCTTGCCTCGGCACACCTTTCCTTTGTTCCTGAATCGCTTGTTGGCTCTGATTCACCAACCGTCAATGGTTATGGCAGTTGTTGCCATCCTCTGGCGGATCTGGCGTTCCCGTAATTGGGTAGTCTTTGCAGGCAAACAATTTGGGATTCAGGCTCTCATGCGCCAGTTTAATCAACAATATGAGGAATGGGTAGGGCTTCTTGCTGATCAGGGTCCTCGAGTTCTGAACCCGGTTTTGCAGCCGCCAGTGCAAGTGGGTGGCTCCCAACTTGTGTGCATGTGGGATGGAGCTACGAAGAGTGGGTCGCATTCGGCTGGTGGGATGGTTCTTCTGGACCCAGTGCGGGCTCTCCTTCTGGCTAGAGGGGTTCAGTTTACTCATTTGGATGATCCTATGATAGTGGAATTGCTCGTGCTCAGGGAAGCGATTATTTGGTGTAGGGAGCTGGGGCTGGCGGAAGTCCGTTTTGAAGGCGATGCTAAGGTGATTATTGACAAGATTAATCAAGCCGACTTCAGAGATAACCGGTTGGGTGCTGTTCTGGAAGAGATTGGCCATTATTTGCGTGCTCAGCCTGGTTTTAGTGTGCGTTTTGTAGGTCGGGAGAACAATAGGGTAGCTCATTTGGTAGCTAGGAAAGCCCTCTCTTTGTACCCGACTATGAGTCGCTTTTATGATTTTCAGGCCTGGCTGTTGTCCAGGGTGTAACTGCCTATTTGTTGATCAATACATGATATCTTTTGTCAAAAAAAAAAAAAAAACGAGGGCTCGAGTCTCGACTATCAAGCTATATTTGCTCGATGGTCATAAACTTACTTCCTAACCCAATGTAATTTGCCGACTTTAGAAGTCATTAAATGGCTTGAAACAAGCTTTTTGGGCAATAGTTTTCAAGGCGTTGTTATTGTTTGTTGCAACATGGTTATCAACCAAAGTAAAGTGATAATTCCTCATACACCAAGGTTACAAAAAAAATCTCATTGTGTGTGTTTGGTGTTGGTGGGAGGAGAATGACATTGATGAAAGTACTACTTGGAAGTTATTATCTTCATTCCTTCAACAACTTGAACGTTCTCCACTACTTCTTTGGCATAGAATTAATCAGAAGTGGCTAGCAGTAGCAGGCCATGATTCACTTAATTCAGAGGAAATATGCTTTTCGATTGAGTTGCTTGATACGCAATTGTCATTTGGATATCAAACATGTCACTACTTATGGATTAGAAGATCTTTCTTAGTAGTGACGATGAAAGAACTTTGGAATCGCCTGTTAGACCACATAATTACCCTCAACTGAATTCTAATAGAGCACTATTTACTATTATTAATTAGCAACAGTACATCAGCTTAGAATATGCCCTAATCCAATGAGTTCAATGCAACAACGCCAGCAACATGTAGAAAAGAAGTGTGAGCAAGTACTAGAGATCTGACAAGCCATCTAATCACATAAAATCTTGGAAAGTAATGATCATGGTTTCGCCAACCCACGAACAACACTTGAAGAAGACAACGACTCACGAGACAATGGTGGTGGCCTGTCGGGTAGTTTGGGAACTTCAACGTCACCCTCCAACAACCTCAAAGCCTCGGCCATTGTAGGCCTGAGATCAGCAACGACATGTGCACAAAGAATCCCCGCTAGTACGAACCTCCTCATCTCTCCTCTACAGTAGTACTCCTCATCTTTCGACATCAGTGTCTCGTCGAAAACTCGGTCCACGTTGCCCGATTTCACTAGGTTCCACGCCCAATCCGTGATCAACACTACTGCCGATGACGATGAGCTGCTGAAGTTCGAGTTGTCAATCACCTTTCGTGCTGACACGATCTCGAGTATTAAAATCCCGAAGCTGTAAACATCGTTCTTTTCGGTCAAGCGTCCATACATTGCATACTCGGGTGCTAAATACCCATGTGTGCCAGCCAGCCTTGTAGTGACATGGGAGCTTCCATCATCTTGAACTTGCCTGGCCAGACCGAAATCACCGACTTTAGCTCTTAGATCCGAATCCAAAAGTACATTGCTCGATTTGATGTCTCGATGATAGATCGCAGGCTTCACCCCACAGTGCAAGTAACAAATCGCTTTAGCCACATCAAGAATCACGTTCTTCCTCTGCTCCCAGCAAAACTGCATTCTGGCTGTCACATTGGATAAATGATCTGCAACACTACCATTCGCCATGAATTCGTACACAAGAAACCTCCTCCGCTCTTTCGTGTCATCGCAGTAGCCTTGTAGGGGAAGCAGATTCCTGTGTTTGATCTTGCTTATGACCCTAACCTCGTTGGCGAATCCTCGGTTGTCGTCGTCGTAGGACTCGATTTGCTTTAGAAGCTCTTTGACAGCAATTTCACTGCCATCATCTAGTGTTCCTTTGTACACAACCCCAAAAGTCCCCTTCCCCAGCAAGTTCGAAAACCCATTTGTCGCCTGCTCCAACTCTTGCAGGCTGAACCGTCTGATACCAATTTGAGCCAGCAAAAGATTATCACTTTCGTTGGAAATATCCAAATCCGGAGCATTGAGCCTTCTCCAATTCCGCAACCTAGTCTTACAAACCAATGCCATTGCCACTCCAATTGCTAGAACCAAACCTCCAATCACACCAAAAGCCAATTGAAACACCCTTTCTCTGCTGCTCCGACCCTTTCCTTGGCTGCCTCTGTGAGGCTCTAGTTCAGCTGCTCACGCTATCAACTTCATCGAAGCATGTATCGCAACTGGTCGAGCTCGTTAGATCTGCTTCACAAGAAGTGGTCAACGAAGGAGTCTTGCCGACCGTTGTATTCCAGTCTTTCAAGGTGAAGATTCCAGGGCAGGTTGGAGGGCTGGCGATGAAAATGAGAGATGGGTTTCTAAAGCATATGTGGGCTGCTGGTTCGAGCCCTGCCGCGGTGAGCTTTTGCTGGACCGTGGAGAGACAAAGGGGAACAGAGGAGGTATTGGGAAGGAAGAAGTTGGATGTTTGTTTGAGGTATAGAGCGAATCCGACATGGATGAGAGCGTGGATTCGAAGGCAGCAGTCGAGAGAGTATGGGTCCTGGATGCAGTAGGATTTCTGCCATGGGAAGGTATCCATGTATGTGAAGTTCACGGGACATGAGGGAGAGATGATGCTGGTGACTGCAACTGCTGCAAGTAACGTAGATGTGAAGAAGAAAAACAGGGGAAGGAGAAAGAAGTTGACAAACAACTCTTTGGAATATGACGCTGCCTTTGCTACATTGCATTCCTATCCAATTGCTACATTGCATTCCTATCCAATTTTGCCTTTAGGGTGGCCATTCGCGTTCTAAAAGCTACATGGTTTTCAAATTATTGGTCTTAACATAGTTATATTAGGAGATGAGCCAGCCGCAACAAGAGAGGTTTGGAAAGGGAACTCAAAAATAAAGCGTTAAAGTTGCTGACAATAGTATAGAAAACTATGCAGTAGTGGAAGATGTCAAGATAAGGCTGCTACAAACCCAATTTGCTACATAAAAAATTTGTAAGCTTACCGAAGCTGATCTGGAAAGGACAGCATGGATTATGTTGAAATACTGTCACTCACTGAAACACAACGAGCGACGACACCAATATATTATTCTCCCTGAAGCATCTCATTGAGGCACCATTGCTTCTTCATCCTTGAAGCAACTTGCCCACATGATTTTTAGCTTTCTAGAGATTTGCTACATAAATATGGTTGGCGGTTCTGAAAATTCTCGGCTTCATACTATTTAATAAGAATTGGCAGTTCTACATAGTCTAGGGGCAGGGATCAAAACAGAAAGTTTCATATCCAAGTTCTCTATTCAAGGAAGCAACAATAAGCTGGAATCATTCCAACATTTTCTAGTTACCCTATAGATTATGCCCTATAGTTGGAGTCTGCATACAAAATGACCACGTGATGCATCTCCTATGTTGCTTCGGAAAGGATATCAAAATGGTGCAACCTCGCATTCCCAGATAATTTGATAACTAAGTTGCGAAGAGCAGTATCATGTCAATGTCTCCTTGTTTTAGATTCAACTTTAGATTGAGCAATCCCGGAAAGCTTGTTCACCTCGTATAGTAACCCACCCGAGAACAAGAAACTGCCAGCAGATGATAGCAAAAGGATCAGCATCAATGCTTATGTGCAATATAATTATTTCTTTCAAAGATAAACAAAGACGAAAAAAGGTTCTTTCTAAATAATAAGGCACAGCTAAGTTCAACGAAAAGTAAGTTCATTCAGTAGACCAACAAGCATTGCGCCTTCCATTACTTAATGAGTAATAGCATAACTACATGCTTAAAGAATATGAACACATATAATGTTCCATCACAAAGAAAATACCCTTTAAATTACTGCCAAGTAGTGCATGTGGAACTAAAGCAAGAAGTAGAAACCTAGACCACATTTTACTCAAAGATGACTTGCAGCTTTAATTGCATAACATGGCCTCGCAGCCATTGGGGATCTTTCTTCTATATTATCACAACCATAACTCAAGGAATGACATGCCAAAAGTCACACTCATATCAATGGAATAAAGGGAAGCAAATCAAAACATGGCTACATAACAGGGTTAAGAACTCGCTTGCAGAAGATGTCTTCCCAAACAAATATGTTACTACAGACAAGAAAAAGTAGAATTAAACTAGTAGTAGTGTTAAAACATTACCAAGTTGTTATGCAAACCCGATGTACAGTTCCAGCTGCAATTAGAGCAACAACTTCAGCCAATACAACTGTTCAGAGAGAAACTGTTAGTCAAGAATTGTAATGATGATGCTTCCGAATAAATGTTATTTTGATGTAGTGTACAATAATGACAAAACATATTGATAATGCAAGGGAAAAGGAGTTGAAAACTTATCGAAGTTTATAACTGAAGGGAAGTCGGTAAGGCTATAAGCCGTGTTTGTAGGCAAGCTTAATGAAGATTCACTATAATGACTACCAGGCACCATAAAACTACCCCATGAGCAATAAACATACTGCTTTGAAAGAAGGAGAAGCAAAACAAAGAGAACTAAAAGAACTCACCAGCACCCCATCCGGTCTTCATGCCATTTGATTCCTGGAAATTACCAATGAACTGCAAGACAGAATTGAGATGCACAGCATCACATCAAAACTTGTTCCAACATACAGAACAACTTACAAACAGATATATTGCTGCTTAATTAATCTCAACTCTTGTTGAGCAATGTATGAGATACTAGATGAAACAGAATGCACCAGCTCAGAAAACTAACATTTGATCGTCAGGATCACATCATTCATATAGGTTATGCCGTTATGGCGATATCAGTATAATAGCGAAGCAGAAAAAAGTCCCAGAACATGTGAAAAATGAAAGAAAAAAATTAATCTCACAAGACTTCAAAATTGAAATACGATCAAATTAGCCAAGCTAGAAGTAATAGATAATGGGGTTTGAGGGGCGTGGGAGAGGATAACACATAAAAGGTCGTAGTTTCTTGACGTTATCGCTACAAAGACTGATTCTACACTGGTATGAAGCATCAAACTTCGAAAGGCATCGAAGCATGTAAATTCCCATATCCCAAACTCATCCATATCGCAAATAGAGGGAAGCCAAAGTAAAGCACTATATCCATCGTTCTGCTATTTCATTTTAGGCATTTAATAAAAACCAAATTAGAAGGATGCCCATGAACAAGGATTTGAAAGTAACTCACAGTTAAGAGCACCAGGAAAAGAAGAGAACTAGTGAATCCTCCCAGAATGGTGAACAACTCGGTAGACGCCAGCTTCCCGCGGTACATCTCTTGAAGTGAAAGAATGACCAAGAACAGAAGAAGCGAGTAAAGCATCGAACTTCCAGCTCCCGCCGCCATGTCTTGCCTTCAAATTCCATCCAGAAAAAAAAAAAAAATCAATTACAGAGAAACGGATATCAATGATCCCGAAATATCAAAGCAGATCCATGACTGTGCAACGCACATTCAAGTTCCCAGCGTATTCCAACAAATCGTCGAATCAATAGAACTCTGTCCGCTCGAAAATCTAATTGAACCAGAGCGAGATCTAAGATCATTGGGTACAAGAACAAAAACTTCCTCGCGATTAATCCATACATTATCTGAGATGCAAGCAGAAACAGAATTTCAAACCAGAAGAACGACGGCGAAGGCCATACCTTAATCCAATCTCTCTCCGCCTTGCCAAACTTTCTCGCTTCTCAGCGTCGACTCAGTACTTTGGACAGACTCGGCTCTCTTCCAACTTCCTAGGCAGAGGAAAATGGAGTTCTATTGTTCTAACTTACCAAACAGAACGGCATCGTTTACGCTATTTCACCAAACGGCTTCGTATGCTTAAAAAGATCGAAGCTTTATCTTCCGAGTTCCGTCGCTTGTTCCATTTTACCTTTGTCTGGCTCGGCGGGTAAATTGGGTAATACAACTGTTAGTTGTCAGTTGTCACACTGGCGAGCTAGGCCTTAATGGAGTCGCCGGAACCCCCAGAATGTCCGGTGTGCCTCCAGCCCTACGACGGCGACGATATCATTCCCCGTGTGCTACCGTGTGGTCATACAGTGTGCGAGACATGTCTCAATAGCTTACCTGAGAGGTACAACCTCACCGTTCGTTGCCCCGCCTGTACTCAATTAGTCAAATTCCCGTCACCACAAGGTCCCTCTTCCCTCCCCAAGAACATTGATCTCCTCCGATTGATCCCTACCACGAATTCCCATCAAGATCGCTCGAAATTCAAAGCCTCGGAGCTCCAGAATGATGCCAAAGTCGACGACTTTTTGCCTCGTTTGTGGTCTCACGAGTTTTATTCGGAATGGAGGAAGTGGGTTCTTCCCGACAACGCGGTTTCAGTCGAGGATAAAGGGTTACTAGATGGGTTTTTAAAGGAGCATATCAAGGTAAGGCTTTTCAAGGTTGCCGGTGATTCATCGGATGGCGACGGGAAAGACTGTATGTTTAAGTTAAGCTACATAGCTAAGATCATGAATTGCCTGTTTGAGATGAATGAGCTGAAGAGACGAGAATTGGGTTTGATCTTGAAGATTGGTTCAGAACGGAGCAGGATTTGTAGAGTTCGTGGATTGTGGGGTGATCTAGATGATGGATGTTTGTATTGTGTTTGTGAAAGGCTGAATGAGAGCTCTTGGTCTGAATTGTGGTGTTTGGATGATGGCGTTAGCATAGATGGGGTTTCTAGTTTTGTTATGGTTGGTATGGAAATGTGTGAGGCAGTGATGAGTTTGCATTTAGAAGGTGTAATTGCAGGTGGTTTAGGACTTCCTTGCTTTACATTGGATGATTTTGGACATGTAAGTTTATGTTCGAATCAGGTTTTAGCATTGGGTCAAACTACTTGGAAAGAAGTTTCAGAATTCGTTCGTGGAGGTAAAAGTGTTGGTAATAGAGAATTGGGAACCTTGGTTGCTGAATGTCTGAGAAGAGGAGAGTATTTGAGCCCAGAGGCATTGGGGAGCATACTTCTTGAAGGTTATGTTCCTTCTGTGGCATATAGGTCAGATGTTTGGTCATTGGCTTTTACTTTTGCTAGACTACTTGTTGGGGAACAGTTCACTAAAGACATGCTTGCATGGGTGGATGACTTCATTTCAGAAACAAGTGAGAAGGTCACTTTAGATTGTGCGGGTCTTTACATGGGTTTGATGGAGAAAACAAGTCATTCACTTGAAAGTAAATATGGTGAGAAGCTCCAGCCGTTGCAACAACTTTTATGCAGATGTTTGAACTTTGACATAGAGAATCGCCCAGATGTGATTGAGATGTGGAAGTGCATTCGGGAGGTAATTATTAGAGGTGAGTTTGATACCAGTCCCAGGTTGATTAATAAGGTTACTGTTGGTGAGGGAGCCACAGGTCATTGCCTGGTTACTGGAGAATTGTGTCAGGTGGCCAAGGTAAAATCTGAGATGAATAGAAATAACAAAATACTAGAGGAAGGTGATACAGAGGGGGTCGAAAATGCTGATGAATTTCAGGAGACTGGCATAGATTTTGTTGAGGGCTTGGTGGAGGGTAAAGTCAAGTCGAAAAATTTGCAAGGGCATTTTGATTGCATCACTGGATTAGCTATCGGAGGTATGTCATTTCTGTTCAGTGGGTTTAGATCCAGATTATGCTAGTTTGATAGGTTATTTGATTGCCTGATATATTCCTTCTCTGAAATTTGTCGAGTAGTAAGATCAAATTATACCTTTTCACCCTCAGCAATTTGGTGACATTTGAGTTTCTTTCTTAAGCCGTTGCTTTCCTATTCTTTGTAGTCCATTAAGCAGCAGTTAGAAAAGGTTGTCATGCTTCATATTTTCTTCTGATTCCTGATATTGTGCTCGACTCTTTTCCAGGGGGGTTTCTTTTTAGCTCATCGTTTGACAAAACAGTTTGTGTGTGGTCTTTACAGGTAAGCTCAAACAAAACCGACATTCTTTGAATTTTCTCCTTAATTCCCTGCTTTAGGTGATGTTATTAGTCATAATTTTATCTTGTAGGACTTCTCTCATGTTCACACTCTCAAAGGCCACGAGCACAAAGTTATGGCTGTAATCTACTCAGAAGAAGGGCAAAAACCATTATGCATAAGTGGTGATAGTGGAGGTGGCATATTTCTCTGGACCATTCATGACCCTCTGGACCAGACATCATTGAGAAAATGGTATGAGGAGAAAGACTGGCGATATAGCGGCATTCATGCTTTAACCACTGCAGGCAATGGATATCTTTACTCTGGAAGTGGAGATAGGTCAATCAAGGCATGGGTGTTGCAGGTACCAATGTCTCTTAGCTTGCATCAACTATCACTTCATCTCATAATCGATTTCCAAAACAGATAAAAACTTCATTGACTTCTGGCTTATGTCATGCTTAGGATGGTACTCTATCCTGCACTATGGAGGGTCATAAATCTGTGGTTTCAACATTGGCAGCACGTAATGGAGTTCTCTACAGTGGTAGCTGGGATGGGACTGTAAGATTGTGGAGTTTAAGTGATCATAGTCTTTTGACAGTGTTAGGAGAAAAAGACATGCCGGGAACCTTGAGCTCTGTCTTGTCTGTCACTGCTGATCGGAACCTTGTCATATCAACTCACGAAAATGGGCATCTAAAGGTAGTACTGCATGCTCTCAAGCTCTACAAAAATGTGGGTTATGGGTATGTGGTATCGTGAATTATGCAAGCAAATAAGTCATGGCAATGGATATAAATCCTTTTGGAGGTTTCATTTACCAATTGGGGCACAAGTGCCTTCAAGAAGAGAAGAACTAGTGATATATGGCTCTGCATAGATTCTTCCCTTCACCTCTGAGACCTGGCTTGTTGCTGTCTACAGGTATGGAGGAACGATCAGTTCATGAAATCAGCGCAAATTCACAGTGGTGCCATTTTCTCTAGCAGCATGGGGGGTGGATGGCTATTTACAGGTGGTTGGGACAAGACAGTTAATGTTCAGGTACATTGTGGGCATGCAGACTGTTGTTTTACGTAGGCATTTCTGTTGTCCGCTTTATGTGAACCAAGGCCATAGTTGAACTCGAATTCTTTCCTCTGATTCGTAGGAATTATCAGGGGATGAACTCCAAGTAGACATCAAATCCATCGGAACGATCCCAAGCACTTCGGTCATAACTGCTCTGTTGTACTGGCAAGGGAAGCTTTATGTTGGCTATGGTGATCGAACAATCAAGGTACAATCCTTTTCTCCACCGGCTTCCTCTCACGTGGTTTCGAGTCAATTGACGATAGCTTGTTGTTCAAGTTTTGTGGAAAAGTTGTCTCATTGTTTGTCTGATTGCATCAGGTGTTTTGCTATGCAAACTGATGAAGTAGTATCTCTTGTGGGGGGGGAAAGTGCTGGAGAAAGGCAGTATATAAATACACTTAAACACTAAAATATGGGAATGTAAATAGAAAGTTATCCTTGAGACAGGATCACATACATGTCATGGCCTCTGATGAAAGAGGGGATCAGTAATATGTGTGTTTCTCAAACATCACGGCCTGGCTAAATAGATCGCCATTAAAGGTCCCCTGAAGTAGGGAATGCTTATTATGGATGCATACATTATATCATGGTTGCTAGATATAGCTGATTGCTTACAAATGCACATAGTACAAACTGAGGAACTTCAGGAAATAGAATCCATTCCTAAAACTTTATGCGATTCTCAGGTAGGTCTGTACCGACAACAAAAAAAGTGCTTGAAATGGGATCAGGAGAGGCCAAAATATTGGGGGACTTGGAATAAAATCTATGAGATTAGTGGATCCTACTTACATTTTTGTCCAAATTTATGGTTTAATGTTAATAAATAAATATATACATAGGATATTGGGGCAATATGATTATTAGTTTAGTACAAATTAATCTGATTTCTTCATTGTGTGATCTATTTATTGGTGTGGGGCTTGTAAATATCAATTACAATCCAACACAAGCATATAACAATATCATATTAATGTTAAATTTGATTGAAAACGAACACAAGAATAAGAAACCCAACAAAAATTACTCAAACTCATACCCCACCCCCCAAATTACACGGAAGTTTCATTGTTGCTTATTGTTGTCGAGCTAATGTCTCCAAGTCCATTTTTTGTGGTCCTTCTATACCACTTCCCTGAAAGTATCCTCATTTGAATAAGCCAATATTACAATTAGGGTATGCAAGAAATCTTATAGACCTTCAAACATCTCGTTATTTCCAATTGTTCAGTGCCGAAAACTTGAACATGAGCCAATCGCTTGAAGGCGAGCCCAGTTGTCATCCCACCGCCGCTGACCTATAAGTTTTGGAAGATTATATTTTCAAGATAAACACAAATTAAATTAATCATGTAACTCGAAATAAAATAAAGTTTCAAACACTAAATAAATACTTAACGGAAACTTAGTGGACTAGCTAAACGAGCTGGAAAAGTCATCTGATTTTCATATCTTTGCTTCTTGTATATTTTTAATTTAGTGTAGTTGGTCATGATTATTGTTTTTTATTTAAAGAGAATCATGTTCAAAGCTCAACATTGATATATTTTTTTTTGTCAAAGTTAGCGGTAACAATTCAGTCAGAAACAGAAAAAAGAAGAGCGCGGGAGTCGACCAATCGCCGAACTCCCGATGAAAGGGCTTTTTGTGCCACAAGATGGGCGGCCCTATTAAGTCGACGAGAGACAAAACAAAACGAGATCCAGTTGAATTGGGACGCCAACGCCCTTGCATCTTCGAGCACCGCCCCACTCCGATCGTGAGCCAAATTACTCCTCTCCATCCGTTGAATCAATTGTTGTGAGTCCCCATGAAATTTAACAGAAGCAAAACCATGTGATAAGCACCATTGTAAAGCATCTCTAAGAGCTAAGCATTCCATGACAAAAGGATCATATATGCCGTCATACGACTTGCCAAAAGCAAAGAGAATCGTACCTGCCACTTGGAAACCCACAAAACCAACGCTGCCACCTTGATTTCTTTTAGCCGCCCCGTCAAACCAAACATGAATGACGTCCTGATGAGAGGATTCGCCTGCCGGTTCTACTTGTCCAAGTCCACCTGGAACGAGGATGAGGTTGGCCCCGGACCACTGCGGAGAGTAGGCGGCCTCGTCTGCTCTGCCTCCCGCCATTCAGTCACTTGTCGTTGCAATTGCCGGAACAGAGCTGGCGGCAGGTATTGGATAAACGCATGGACCGACCAGCATCTAGCCTTCCAAATTCGCCATAGGATAAAAACCACCTCCGCAATCTCACTTTTGGTCAGGTTCGTCTCAAAAAACAAGTGCTTCCATGCATCATCCGGGGCCATTCCGCCAAGGGATGAACGAAGGTCTTCTTGGCCAGCAAGCTCCCATAAGCCCCTAGCTACCCTGCAAGCAAAAAAGAAGTGGGAGAAAGACTCCGATTCTGCATCACAGATCGGACAGATCGTGTCGGATACCAAAGTCTTAAGGAAAAGCACAGATTGTAGCGGTAGAAACCCGCGAACAGCACGCCAGAAGAAGAATTTCAGCTTTGGGGGTAATGGGAGGCTCCAAAGTACTTTCCAAAAGCGGGCGTCAAAAGGAAGAACAGCCGGAGGGTAAAGAATATTATGTTCAGAGGACAATAAATGGTAGCCTGTCTTAACTGTAAACATTCCAGAGGGTGAGTAATGCCAAATCAATCTGTCATTCATATGGAATGTGGGTAAAGGAATATAAAGAATTAGTTCCACACATTCTGGAGTAAAAAGAGCTTCCAAAAGATCTTTCTTCCACATAATTGAACTAGGACAAATAAGATCAGATACTAGGAGAGGACAGGAAGGCGAACCTGGTTTCAACGTGGGACACGATGGAGGAGTAGATGGAAGCCATATATCTTGCAATATCCGGATTCGCGAGCCATTGCCCACCTGCCACCGGAGGCCCCGCTTAAGTAAAGCCTTTCCTTCCAGGAGCCCTTGCCAAGCCCAGGAAGGACGAGATCCTGCCGTTGCATCAAGGAAATCATGGTTCGGATGGTAACGAGCTTTGTAAATTCGCGCAAGGTGGCTGGACGGATTGAGGAGAATCCGCCAAGCCTGCTTAGCCAGTAGGGCTATGTTAAACTGGTTGAAATCACGGAACCCAATACCTCCACTAAATTTGCTCTGCCAGAGGGCGCTCCACAATATCCAATGGATGCCTCTTTCCTTATCCTGTCCCGCCCACCAATACTTTGACAGTTGGCCATTGCACCGACGACAGGTTTCCTGGGGCAATCGGAATGCCGACATGGCATAGATCGGACCAGCTACGCCAATGGCCTTTATCACCACTTCTTTCCCCGCCAAGGATAATGACTTCGCCTTCCAACTGCGAACCCGAGCAGCCAAGTCTTCCTCAATGAATTGAAAGGTCAGCGACTTGGACCGGCCAATCTGTGAGGGCAGCCCTAAGTATTTGTCTTCTGCCTGCAAAACACTTACCCCTAGGAAGGAGCTAATTGCTTGTAACTCCATGTAAGATACATTGCCACTAACACAAACCGCAGACTTATGCAAATTAACTCGTTGACCACTAACTATTTCATAGTCTGATAGGATCTGAAGCAAGTTGGCACATTCAGGAATAGAGGCGCGAATGAACAGGTAGGAGTCATCGGAGAAAAACAAATGTGACAAAGGAGGAGCTGACCTGTGGATGCGCAGCTCATGGAGGGAAGAAGAAGCTACCTCTTGGGTGATCTTTGAAGCAAATCCTTCCGTGTAGATGGCAAACAGCAATGGCGACAAAGGGTCTCCCTGACGTATACCTCGGTGAGGTTGAAAGTAGCCATACTGAGCCCCGTTTAGAAGGACTGAGAAATGAACAGTTGTTACACATGCATTAATCCAAGTCATCCACTTCTCACAGAATCCGAAGGCCTGCATAACTTGAAACATGAATTCCCACTCCACACGGTCGTAAGCTTTCTCCATATCCAGCTTCAGAGCCATCCATTTGTCCTGACCCCGTATCTTGGTTTTCAGAAACTGCATCACTTCTTGGCCAATAAGAATATTATCAGAAATACATCGACCTTTAACAAACCCGTTTTGAAAAGGGCTAACAATCTGAGGAAGAATGGTACTTAGCCTCGAAGACAATACTTTGGCAATGATTTTGTATAAAACCTGGCAGAGACCGATAGGCCGCATTTGTCTCATAGAATCAGCATTCGCTACCTTCGGAAGGAGAGTCAGCAGGGTATGGTTGATACTATGTAACAGCCTGCCCGATTGAAAGAAGGAGAGGATGGCATCTGATACATCCACCCCTACCTCTTCCCAGAACCTTTGGTAGAAACCCGCTGTAAACCCGTCTGATCCCGGAGATTGTCCTTGTCCAATAGCAAATATGGCCTGTCTAATTTCTCCGCGAGAGACCTGCATAGTAAGCATTTCATTCATAGAAGCTGATATTTTGACAGGGAGGTTCAGACTCTGAACAAAAGCTGAAGGGTCGACACCATTAGAGGTAAATAAAGACTCAAAGTAAGCTACTGATATACCCCCTTTAATTGGCTCGGCCGAATGCAATTCGCCATGTTCGTCACGCAATCGTGGAATGAAATTGGATATTCGACGTTGCATCGTTGTCAAATGGAAATAGTGGGTATTAGCATCCCCACCATGTAGCCAATGATTCCTCGATTTCTGCTTCCAATATAATTCTTCCTGCGGTAGGCCTCCCCGAGTTGAGTCTCTAGCTGACCAATGTGCGCCCAATTGACAGTCGGGGCTTCCTTGGCAATGTCAATGTCTCCCCTGATCTCGCGAATTTGCCGAGCAGAATTAGACGTCCCTGCCTTGGCCCAACTCAGCAACTGGTGGCGGGTATGCTTCAGCCTCGATTGGACCTTGAACAGGGCGGTTCCGGCCACTGGTTGACTCCACGTCGAACGAACTAGATCAGGAACAACTGGATTCGAATTCCAGCGGTAGTCATACTGGAATCTCCGAGTGTGACGATCGTCCGATTGCACAAATTTAACCAGCAACATTCGATGGTCGGACCCCCTGTCGGATAAATGGTGAACCTGGATTTCTGGCCACAGGGAAAACACAACATTATTACCCAAACATCGGTCAAGACGAGATTGGATATGGTCACCGTTGGATTGACGATTGGACCACGTAAAAGGCGGACCAATATATCCCAAATCCTGAAGTCCCCCTGCATCCAAGAATAGGTTTAGTTGGGAAAGGGCAGCAGGGGTAGGTGGCCGCCCTCCCTGTTTCTCAACACTGTCAAGTAAACAGTTAAAGTCCCCTAGAACTAACACAGGGTCCTCATACAAAGAAACAAGATACGAGATTTCATTTAATTGAAACTGACGCTGGGCTACATCACAATGCAAATGAACAAACACGACAGCAAATCGCCCTAGTGACGGGTGTTCACACTCTACGAATATAAAACCAGATGCTTCTACTGAGATAGATACAAAAAGATTTGATGACCAGGCAAGAGCTAAGCCACTGCCATTACTAGCTACACTATGTACACGTTCTTCCAGAAACCCGAGAAAGCCAAAATGTTGGATCACGAATTCATCATCCTTCCTTGTTTCACTCAAACATACCAGAAGAGGAGATTCTTTGATCAGAGTCTCCTTGAGAGTTGGAATTGTCAGGGGAGCCCCCAATCCCCTGCAATTCCATGCTAGGATAGTCATGGATCAGACTGGGACCGATTAGGGCCGGCTACCTCCACCTCAGAGTTTATGTGATCATTTGCCTGGATTTGAGTCCCCAGACGAGCCTTCTT